TAAGTGGTGCAACAACAGGTTATGAGTTTCACGAGAACAACCTTATTTCTGGCAAATAGAAGGGTAAGCTTCCTTCCTTCTGAACGACACTAAATTCGGTGAGCCAATACAGCTGCTAAAAAGTATCGAAAAATACCACCAAGCCTAATTCATAATTGACATAACATAGTGATGTAAGTGACAGGCCTGATGTGGCCCGTCGCCGATTCTTGTACTTTTCGTGACTTGTTCACAGAAGATCCAAATGCATGTCCTTAGACCGGATCTTTTCAAGACTGACGATAGTTTGAAATAGCTACTGGACTTCCACCTGGTTCGATGTGGTGCTTGGCATTTCAAGTCTGTACATATATTTTTCCATAACTATATCTAGTCGACCTGTTTTTGAACGCGTTCATACTCGGAGCGTCAACTATGTCATCGGGGAGGCTGTTCCACATGTCGGTGATTCGAAGCGAGAAGAAATGTTCTCGCGCAGATGAGTTGCAACGCAGTTTTTCTAGTGTATAGCCGTGGCTTCTTGTGTTGGTTCTTGGTTTAAATTCTAGTAATCCTTTTGGGACCTTGTATAAACCGTGGTTATACTGGTATAGTTCGATGAGGTCACCATGCAGACGTCGATAACAGAGGCTCGGAAGCTTGATAACCTTTAATCTTTCTTCGTAGGATTTGCCATTCAAGCCTGGAATTATCCTTGTTGCACGTCTTTGAACATCCTCTATTAAACTTTTGTCCTTTTCTCGGTGACCACACGGCGTTTCCAAACTCTAGGTTCGGGAGCACGACAGCAACAAACAACTGTTTCATCGCTTCTGCATCTAGGAACTCGAAAGAGCGTCTGATCAGTCCAAGTCGTTTATTGGCTTTATTAACTTGACCTTCAATATGCTTAGAAAATTTCAACTCATTGTCGGTATTAACTCCAAAATCTTTTTCCATTGTCGACTTTGACATCCTCACTCTGTCGTTGCAACCGTGTCTTGTCATAATGTAATCTTACTGTTCACTATTCTTGCCAAGGTGGATTACTTTACATTTGTCAGCGTTAAAACGCAGCTGCCACTTATCAGCCCAGTCAACCAGCCTGTCAAGATCACCTTGTAACTGTACTTTTTGCGATGCATTCTTCACTGCATAATAAATTTTTGTGTCGTCAGCATACATCGAGTACACGCTAGACACAGCTTCTGGCAGATCGTTTATGAACGCAACGAATAAAACAGGCCCGAGAACGCTTCCTTGTGGCACGCCGCTGCGCACTGAAGCCCAGTCCGATACGGACCCATTAATACTGACATGTTGGCGTCTCCCTACTAGAAAATTTCTGATCCATTTGAGTACATTGCTGTCAATTCCCAAAGACTGCAATTTCCGCAACAGCCCGCTCATGTGGGACACTGTCAAATGCCTTGGCAAAATCGAGGTACAATGCATCTACTGGCTCCTTTTCGTCCAGCAGGCGGGTGCATTCGTTCAGAGTAGACAAGAGGTTAGTGGTGCGGGATCTCCCGGCTATAAAGCCATGTTGACAGTCTGATATGAGATAATTAGCAGTCAAATGATCTATCAATCGATCCCTCAAAACAGATTCCATTACCTTGCAAACGACACTTGTCAAACTTACGGGGCGATAGTTGCCCGGGCAGCTTTTGTCACCTTTTTTGAATTATGGTGTCACTTGAGCTTCTTTCCAGTCAGCCGGCAAGATCTCTTCGTTCAAATTTTTTCGAAAAAATGACGTCAAAGGGCCGGCTAGGACAGTTGCTAACACTTTGAGTAATCTGGGGTGAAAGCCGTTAGGGTTTGGATTCACAGCGAGCGATAAGGCGCTTGAGAACCTCTTCTTCTTGTATTTCAAAAACTTTTAATTTAGAGCCGACTGGGCACTCCTCAATAGCTGGAATACTGTTCAAGTCCTCTTCAGTGAATATGCTACTGAAAAACTGATTAAGAACGTTAGGTTCCTAATGATTTATGATATGAATATCTCAGCATAGTGTATTATCGATGAAATAAGATGCGCAAGAGTAATTGCACACGACGTTGTTTAAAAGTAATGATATATCATAGGAGTCAGTTCAGCGTGAGCTTCCGAAGCATATCTGAACATTTGGCTCCATTCTAAGTATTTTAAAATCTTGCGACTTGAAGCGTGCGCAAGAGCTTTTTGGTTTCATCATATTATGCCCATAAAACATTTACTAAGAAATATCCCTAATGTTAACTATAAATGAGAAAGTTTGTCTGCAAGCCTTCTGAAGACATGCACACTTGTCAGCACTCGCTTTCTTTCACGTTCGGATGTGCATTCAACAGCGATTAGTTTTCCATGGGGATCTTAACTTAAAAATTGCTTCTTCGTGTTCATATCTCGTTTTCTGGCGTCAAATAATGCGCTGGTTCAATAATTTGAACACTACCCACCAATGACATATTATCCCCTTTAATAGGAGAATAAATTGTTATAGCTTGGTGAAATAGCCTATTACTTACAAATTAAAGATTATCGACAGTTACTCAGAACCTTAAACTTGATGAGCTAAGCCCATCTTCTTACTTGAGCTTGCGGGACGACTGAAATAACCCAGCATTGCCCAATAGCAGCATAATTTTCATACTTCACCCCGTGCGCAAGCATGCTGCAGAGCAAATTAGCCAACATGATTACTTGCTGAAAGCCACAGGGACTAAATTCCAGTTTGTAGTATCAGTTTGTGGGATGAGGCATTGCTTGTTTCAAGCTGGTGTGGCGAGATGAGGCAAGTAAGAACAGCTGCATAGGTATTAGACTGACTATTTCTATTGCATGTAGAGGGTTGGCATTGGCTTTTGGGCTGATTTACGAGTCAAATTTTTGGGCTACGGCAGCGCTCCCGAGCTTGCAATAGTTTAATTGTACCATTTACAAGGCGACGTTCTTTGTTCTTTGACCAAACGACTCTGAATAAAATTTAAAACAAAGTATCGTGCATTATCCTTTTCCACCTTTAATGTTTTATCTTTCGTATTCGTATTCTGTACAATGGTAATTTGAGACTATAAATCAAACAATTGTCTAAAAATGAAAACCTATTTTTTTAATCCAGTATATTTGTTCGATGCAAATTCAAGTGTTTTTGAGAACGGAAACATACAGATCTTGTGATATAATTGTATTTTATTGAAGGACAATAATTTTGTAACACGTTGCGAAGTTACTATATACTTTAGTGATAGATTTTTATGTACATAAAATTATTTTTATTCAAACCAATCCACCAATGAACCCTTAGTTATTTCAGAATTAGAAGTGAAGACGTGTAACAAATGGCCTTTTTGGCGAATTGAGTCTGTATATAGGATGAAAAAACAAAGCATTTGAGATATCATGTTAGGGAATAATTATTTAGTCCCTAATATGATATCTCAACTGCTTTGTTTTTTCATCATCGAGTAAATTGTCAGTCTGAACATCGAATTATTACATTCTTTCCTAACCTCCACTCAAAGAAATTAAAATGATAATCAGAAGCCAATGAAACTATAACTTATTATTCATACGACTTCCCTCAAAAGAATAGAAATTGGTTGAAAGAAAGGCAACAACCTCGACCCCAAAGCGAGTTCAAGAAACACCAGTATCATGACAATGTCAATGTAAGGAGCGCCAAAAATGTGTACTGAAAGGGTAAAGTTCTGGGTTTCTTCTCTTATTACGCATTCTTTCATATAAGATTCTGTTCATGAGGTCGAATCAGCAAGATTTTTTAATTCGGTGTTTTCTGTATTATTTCTGATTCAAGCGAAGACTGAAGTAAACTTTTCAGTGTAAAAGAACATTGGATCTGACTGCTCAGTGTCAAGCTATAAAGTTGATTAATATTTGTGCCAAAAGCTTTTCGTCAACTCCGGTCATACCGTGAGCCCAGCTATGAATTTTTGGGTCTGATCATGAAGGTGAGTTCAGAGAGGTACATATAGGCATACTTCCCCTGCCAGTAACGCTATTCAAGGTAAAGGTCACTCTTTTCGTTGGCAGGTTTGCCGCCACCGAAGAGAGTTGTGGGGTTTGTTTTGAAGCATAAGTCATACCACCCACCACCCCCACCGCTCCATTCCGAACAACTTCCTCCTGAGAAGAGAAAATTATGTCAACGAGTAAATTAAAAATCAAATCTCCAACGTTTGTGGCGTCAGCCACTTGAAAAAATATGCAAAAGTTACATTCTAACAAACGAATGAAAACATAATATAATGCAAACTTTACGTAATAATGCCAGCAAATATAATACAAACATAGATTTTCAACACGATCTTAAATGTAGTGAGTGCCTATATATTCTCACACCAGCACCACCGCGTGAGTGCAGGCACTGAAAACACGAGATAGGAAGGTAATTGTGAAGGTATCGGGTACTGGTAATGATCGCTAGTGTATTGGGCATGGTGAAGTTCCCAGGTTAAAAGTTCCGTGCTTCATCAATGGCGAGGTCAATGATGAATATGCAGGACATAATGCAACCTTTTTTCACTCTATGATTTTTATGTAATTTACTATAAACAATAGATATTAATTTATTCTTTTAAATGAACATGTCCTTCATTTAAAGCTTAAAAATACTCACAACATCAACAAAGCTAACTCACGAAAAAAATCTTATTATAACGTCCTATGACGCACATATGACGGAAGATGACGCCAGGATCAGTGTCTGTTTGCCGCATTACATTTCACTGAAGCAAACTGCAAAACATCGTCAAAATATTTGTATTAAAACTCATCATGATACAGTGGAAAAAACTTCATTCAACTTCTAGCTTGCCTTGAATTTCGCAAAGTCGTAACTATAGATATAATTTCGAAAACTATGGTGAGTGGGGATAAATTAAGTTTAATTCAAAGAATATTTTATTTATACGGATGAATGAAACTGTTGCGAAACTGGCGGTCGGAGAAGACAACGGGTTAAGCCCGTCGGTGGCGCTCCCCCCGACCATCCGCCACCCGCGGTTCCGAAAAACAGAAGCAGTTGAAGCAGTTTATGCTGTTGGCATAAAAACCAAAAATTAATTATAAAGCACCCATAAAATATTCTGGATGTGATTCTGAGATGATAATGAGACAGAGTCTAAGAAGAAGCGTATCAACGTCAGCCGTCAAGGAAAGTTGTAATTAACCAGCAAAAATTTGCTGGACTTTACACGGACTTGAATTTTTGACTCACTGAGCCAGCAGTCAATTATCTTAGGCAAAGTAATTACGAATCCTTCAGGAAGTTGTGGGGTTACACTGCAGTCAACATCAAAATATTTACACTAAAGATGAGAATTCATCTTAAGTCGAATGTTTTTAGTCGACATAGTCATTTGTCAAGCAATAAAAACAATATAGCAAATAAAGGCTCATGGAAAACACGCATTTCATGATGAAAATGTCAAACTAAACAAAATGTATCGTGATACTCGAATAAATTTAAGTGAATATATACAAATTAAATGAATAAAGAATAAATAATTTTGAATAAATAAGCAAATTGAAATATGAACTTATTATTTACAGTTAGGAACACTGAAACGAAAATAATGTAAAGAAGATAAGCTAGCTTCAAAACTAGGATTACATTTCCACCAAATATCAAATTCTACAAAGCTTTGAAAGAAATAAGAAGTGGACTGTAAGACCATCCCATACTAATGCTATGACCATACTGCTTTTAACTCCAGGCCATGGTTAACCTTTAATCTTCTGACAAATAGGCCTCGTGGCCAGATTGTCAGGTACGAATTGCATTGAGGACAGTTATTTGCCATGTAGAAAAAAGGTTAAATCACATTCTGCGATCAATTGGTCTCCGAATAATTATTATTGATTCGTTATATCGCTAAATGACGATTCTTAGGCGGAATAAATTCAACAGTTAATCGAATTTTTCGCATTCTAAATGTTTCGAACTTGTGAAATCTCGTTATCGATTCTGTCTTTTGCGACGAGAGTGAAAGCATAATGAGTGAGCGTTCATTCATACAGTGAATAATTGAAAAATAGTCAATGTAGCGGCGCGTTTTGCGGCCAATTAAATTAAAAAAAAATCTAAAATCTGAAATGTGGAGCCTCTATCCTGTAATGCCCGTATTGATGTTTTTACTCTAGGTCAAAAGTAAAAGTTTTTGTATCCAAAAGCCGAAATTATCGCGCGTTGTGGGCTAAATTAAGAACTTAATAATGATAATCGTACATACTTGTGATGCGCTAATATTAATAAAATCAAATTATCATCACGCGATTGTACGATTTTTCATTATTTGTATATACAAATGGCCTGTTAGCTCTTTCAACTGCGCCGTTGCGTGATGGCCATTCAGAGTTCAAAAGCAGTAAAGGTTCAGGAGCAAATGTCTGGGGTATTTTAGTGTAGAGCAGAGACAGCAGAAAAAAGGCATCTTACTCTTTGATGTAAAAGCTGAAAAAAGTAAAGAGCCAAGCGGAAAATAACTAAAGCAAGAAGGAGAGTCTGGCAGTTAAAATAATAAAATCGAGTCCCGATTAAGAAAACAATTCTATATTTATCGGTCCAAGACAGAAGTTCGTGATATAATATATGGATGAATAAAGCGAAGTTCATGAGATATTGAAGGTGTATGAGGAAGAATTGATGGGCGGAGATCACAAGGAAGAAAGATCACACGACAGCGATGGTGGAGAGCCCTTCGTGTGGCGCTCTCCACATTACCTTCCGCGGGCGGCGCTTCCCCTTCCGTTGGCGCCGCAGGCTCTTGTTCTGCTGGGGGAGCTTCAGAGGGAGCAGCCTCAGGGGCAGGCTCTGCTGAGGGAACTTCAGTCCCCTCTGCTGAGGGAGCTTCAGTTCCCTCAGCAGGGGCGCTCTCGGCAGGCGCAACCTCAGCAGAAATTTCTGCAGGAGGTGCGTCTGCCGGAGGCTCTGCAGGCGCTGCCTCCTGAGGTGCTGCCTCTGGAGCGCCTTCCCCTTGAGTGCTTGGCGCACCTGATGCAGCGGCGCGCAAAATAAGGCATAAAATATCATCATCATCGTCAGCCTCACAGGGCCCAGGACTATCTAAATGATTGACGAACCACAGACGAGGCACAGCAAGGATTGCACATCATAAGGTGGACATATACAATCACATGTAATAAATTATAAACATCAAATGAACTGATTAGTAAACCTGAAAGAAAATAATTGGTTAATGACTTAAAAATATATGATAAAATCGCGAACCTCGTTTCTCAAATTCCGCATAAAATGAATACAAGCCTTTGAAAAAGACTTGACATAAAATTTGCCAGAGCGCAAATGGCATCACCAGAAATTCAAAAGCCTGGTCGACGACTTGAAAAAATTGTTCTTGGATTTCTGGCGTTGAAGAAAATAAGAACAGGAGCTCGACTGAGCTCATTGCGAGTTGTACTGAAAGGTTGACTGAGCGGCGAGAGAAGTGGGCAGCGATTCAGATCAATAAATGAAAGTGAAAAGAAAGCGAAAACGTCATCCACGCAACGTACCTTCGGCTTCTCCGGCTTCACCCTCTCCCTGAAATGGAACAATAAAAAAATTATATGCAAGTCAAATTATATTTCACCCTATACAACTGACATCTGTTGATTGGATAATCTTGGTTTACTTAAAAAACTCACCATTGAGCCTCCGAATTTAAACTTAAAAGTTATATTCAATAAAAAAAACACGGGAATGGAGAGAAGACTTTCGCCTGCTCTACATCACGGCTCTAGAGCATTCATTGATTAGGGCATAAAAATCTCGCAAGTGAATAAAAGTTGTACGCTTCCGCACATAATTGGATTTATTTTAAATGATGACAGAATTCACGGAGCGTTTAAGAATTGCTTGGGATGCTTTTCGGATATTTTACATAAGCTATTTTGTTTTCCGTTGCTTAAAAAAAGTTGTCTACTCGGCTTCCTGCCAGAAAGGAAACATGCAGCTGATATGCGTTGTTATCCACACGTTATACCCAAGTTTTGACAATTTATTTAGTAAATTCTGATAAATGAAAGATGGCGCTCATAAACTATTCGGAGGCGAAAAAATCAAGCAATTTACAAAAACAGCGGTAACTGGCTTCGGAACTGGCTTGAGCATATATATATTTGATTTAGAATAAACTTAATGGCCAAGGCGTGAGCTCATCAAAGCGTTTTGATGATATAATAGAATGTTTCATAATAAGTAATATAACATTGGATAGACATCGTGAAGATACGGTCATATAGATCATTAATGCTTTTAATGCTTGCCGGTTAGAGCAAGCGAGTCTGGACCTCTCTACGTCCCCAAATAAACGAATTGCCGAGCTAAACACACTCGATAGAATAGCATCTACCGTCATAGTTTCAGCAGACATCTACCGTCATAGTCTCAGCAGGGATCTACCGTCATAGTCTCAGCAGGGCATCTACCGTCATAATCTCAGCAGGGCATCTACCGTCATAGTCTCAGCAGGCAACTACCGTCATAGTCTCAGCAGGCATCTACCGCCATAGTCTCAGCAGGGATCTACCGTCATAGTCTCAGCAGGGCATCTACCGTCATAGTCTCAGCAGGCATCTACCGTCATAGTCTCAGCAGGCAACTACCGTCATAGTCTCAGCAGGGATCTACAGTCATAGTCTTAGCAGGCATCTACAGTCATAGTCTCAGCCGGCATCTATTGACATAGTCTCAACAGGCATCTACCGTCATAGTCTCAGCAGTTATCTACAGTCATAGTCTCAGCAGGCATTTATTGCCATAGTCTCAACAGGCATCTACCGTCATAGTCTCAGCAGTTATCTACAGTCATAGTCTCAGCAGGCATCAACAGTCATAGTCTCAGCGTGGCTACTACGAAATTGTTGTGTAGGCTGTGGACGATGCCATGGTCAGTCTTGCAGGTTTGAAAGTCCCCATGTGGTTTGATTGATAAATTAATCAGAAAATTTCAAACCTAAATTTATAACCAAACTATTTTTGGTAATTAACTTTATCAAAAGTGGATGCTTGTTTTCATAAAGAAATAATTTCTATGGTAAGTTGGGTAAATAGTTGACCCCTTCAAGGAGGTCCATGTGAGTGCATGTGGCCCGTGACTGAGGTCAGGTTCCCGAAATTCGGTAGCATTTTGATAATTTTCGACAAGTAGCACGATTGAAATTGTTAATAATTTTTTACGATGATTTTTTCAAACAAGTAAATGCTCTCGTTCGTGTATAATGTTTAATAGTGTAGGTGGTCGTGGTTGTGGTAGCGGTCCCACTATAAAATGTGTGAAAAGAGCAAGAGTTGGTCCATGATGACCTAGAACACGAGGAGGTTCATGGTGGCCAGGAGCAAGAGGTGTTCCTAGGTGGCCAAGAGAAGAGGTGGTCCATGGTGGCCAGGAGCAAGAGGTGGTCCTAGGACGCCAAGAGGTGGTTCATGGTGGCCGGGAGCAAGAGGTGTTCTTAGGTGGCCAAGAGCAAGAGGTGGTTCATTGTGGCCAGGAGCAAGAGGTGTTCCTAAGTGGCCAAGAGCAAGAGGTGTTCCTAAGTGGCCTATAGCAAGAAATGGTTCTAAGTGGCCATCAAATAGAAGGAAAACGTAAGCAATATTAGAAGGCAAAAAGGCGCTTGGCCCATAATTTGCTGTGTACTGTCTAAATTTATTTGTGAAGATATAATACATGGAATGTTGGCCCCAGAGCGTCAGGTCAGCTACAGTCAATCGTCATTCAAAACACGCGATAACAAAAGATGAACTCACCGCTCCGCCCTCTTCTCCTTCCTGCCAAAACAAAAGAAATTGCAATGTTAAAGCATGGGTTAGGCAGGAGATGCGGGCTGATCAGTTGTTAGCTAAGTTAGGAGCCAACAAAACCCATCACAACAATGAGTATTCGCAAAATTGATTTAAGATACGAAAAATGAATAACGTAATGCCTATTAAAAAGCAAAGGGTGCCAGAAGAAGGGCGATAAATATTAACAAGCCTGTGCAACAAGACGGATCTTTCAAAAATGACACCACAGAAGAAAAACCGGTGCCAAAAGTGTCAGAAAACAGGCAAAAATCGAGCAGTGTATGACGATGAATATACAATGTGAGACGCAGAGAAGGGATGAGTGGTAAAAGTAATACACAATATGGAATTATGCGCGTTAAAGAGTGGCAGAGATTGTTATTCTGATTGCATACGGCGAATTATGACCACCTGACCCTTTCCCGCAATACAAGCCCCATTGAAAAATAGTTTATAAATATGTTTCATATGTTCAGGAATTTGATAGTCTGGGAAAAATTGAATAATTTACCCAGTATAAGATAGTATTTCACTTAAGGTTGCTTATTTTCGACACACAGCGAACCATGTTATCACATGTGTATGGCATCTAACTATGACACCAAAAATTTCAACTTCTGGAATGAAATAAATGTCTATCGAGTTTCTCAGCATTCAATGAAAAATTCTCAGAATCAAAATTCGAACATTTATTTCCACGGACGAATCAACAGCACAGGTCTTATCCCCTTAAAAAACCACGTCATATCACTTAGTGTAGCATTGATAAAGTTAAGCAGAAGTTGCAGTTCAACGCAGGTTTTGACAACTTATATTTTGGCTTCAATTTAGACTGATGAACAAGTTCTGCCTAACCTTGCCAATATTCTCACTCTGATCTTCCACAAAACATTTGTTATAGAACTCAGTCGTAGGCTGCAGAGCAATCAGAGTGAGATGATGATGCGTGCAGAAGTGAGGCAGAGGGGAATGTGTTGCAGTGATGATGCGTGCAGGAGTGAGGCAGAGGGGAATGTGTTACAGTGATGGTGCGTGCAAGAGTGAGGCAGAGGGGAATGTGTTAAAGATGTATCAATGTTTGAATGCATGATTATTATATAACATTGCCGCGTATTCAAGCATTGGTCTGGTGAGTAAAATAAAAATAGCAATGAAGCGAAACAAGGCAACCTCAACTCGGTGAACATTCGTGTATCAGGCTGAGTTAGTGCCCATATAAGTTGAGTTGGACACGGTATTAAATCTTGTCTCAAACTAGCGTATTTTTCAGCCATATTAATGCCACATTAGTGCCACTAGCCTCATCACTCATCTTGATAACACAGCAGCTAAGGTGGGTATGGTCGTTGTATTATCTTGACGCGTATCTTTATAAAATTATTTGGTTGAATTAGTGAACTGCGCCAATAATGGGAATTACACTTGAATTTATGAGAATTTGGATAATTCCGTTTCTCGTTTGTTTTCATTAAGTAAATGAATTAATATGTGCAAGATTATGATGAATAGTGAATGACATTAAAAGAAAAAAGCACACCAAAATAGTTATTAAAATTATACATTTATTATTGCCGGCGCGTACATAATCATAAAGTTGAATAGGCCAAGAGGTGACACAGCTTCAGGTTTCAAATTAATCGTAAATACAAAAAAAAATTAATAAAGCTCGAGACGAAATAAAAAAACAGAAATGGTCGTCGTAAGAAGAGAGCCATTCATTATTATTATTAATCATTCGCAGATTATTCATTCATTGTTATCTGTATTTTAAGAGTGACTTTAATATCGATAAGCCTAGATTTGGTCGAGCATTCCCGCGACATACTTCACAATTCGGAAAGATCCTCGGTAAATGTTTCTTCGCTGATCTGACTATAAAAGAATATTATAAATTATTCATTGAAGACTATAAGCGTATAATGATGTTGCATTACGCTTCCTAATAGTGCATGAAAGACGCTTAAAATGCTCAATATTTTGTTACGGAGCGCACACATACGCTATAAAATACGCATGACACACACCTAGCTGTACCTATGGCGACATTGAAAGTTAGTTTAGCAAGAAAGTTGCAAATAAACCTCGAGGTTAGCAATATTCCAGTTTACAAAGATTTTAGGTGTTTTGAAAGAAAGAAAAACCTTTAATCGAAGTTTTTCATATATTATATTTCTCAAAATAAAGGAAGAAAGTGAGTATTATTCATATTTTAAACACATAATTAACCTTTGTTTCTCGCGGATCATCTCTGGGATCCATTACTTCAATGATTATATGGAATGGAAATCGAAGAAAAAATGTAGCAAAAAGATATGAAAATTTATGTGATCGGTATAACAGCTTTCATAAAATCAATCGACGAATTGCAGCCTCTCATTATATATTATGGCATGGGCTTAGGGAAAAAGTCTTTAAATGGACCCTAATTTTTATGAACTCTGATTTGGCCAATGCATCTATTATCTCTGGAGATAATCACCCTCTGTCTCTCAAGCGAGTTTCTTCATTAAAGGCTAAAATTAAAGGCTGAAAAGTCAAAACACTCTTCAAAACTTTGAAGCAATCGCTCTCTCTAGTGTGCGGATATTTGGTATTCGTCCATTATAATGTATCACTTACCCTGCAAAAAACGGGGGTTCACTGTAATTTCCGTTTGAATTAATTACTATTGTCTTCTCTTGAATAATTGATACGCGACTTGATTCGATTCGAAACCTCGTGATCCTATTTGATAACAGAACTAAACATATTCAATTATAATACCACATACCTATGTACGGAATTATACATGAAAAAATAGACTAAGAGTCGATATAAAGGCGATAGAGGCCGATTAAAGGCGATAGAGGCCGATTAGTTAGCCTATGATGCAAATATTTATCGTAAAATTATGTATATTCCGCGATGAGATCTTATGAAGAGGTTAGAAGAAGTAGCGCGCAGCAAAGTTCCAATTAAATGAAAACTAAATGATCAGAAAAATGCACGAGTTTCCCATGTAAAGCCTAGTTGCAGGCGCATAGTATGGACTCCCCCAGTTGATATTAGCTGGCAAATTGTACAGAACCGAGTGTTAAGAATAACAGCTTGGACATAAGTTAAATTTACCTTCTTGCCTGCACCGGGTCCGCCTGCTGCCCATTCAGGCTTTGACTGTAGAGGAATGCAGCAATTTAGACACTCTAATCACTCGTTCTATTGCCCTAAGGCACAATTTCAGAGAAAATTCAACAAGAAATCAAGAAAAGACTCTAGAAAACAATTTCAGGGTCGAAAGGAGCTTTCAGAAACTGCGATAAAGGATAATCAAGATCTATTGAACCTCGTATCCTGTTCTTTATCACCGAAGAAAATTTTACAGACGCTACCCTAACATGCAAGACAATCTATACCAGACATTTCTCAACATCAAAACAACAATGAACATAAATTCGTGATGGAATATTTTTTGTCCTTCGGTATTTCATCAAATTTGATACATGAATACTAATGTGTCATTTACGCCATCCATTTCATTCTAATTTTATGAACAGGGGCACTCTAGTTCTACTCACTCAAAGATGGCTAATATCTAAGAAAATTTGGATATGTGGCTTCTGATTTCAGCTTCTGATTTTGGGTCATCAGACGCTGAATCGACTCTAATATTTATCAGAGATAATCACTGCACACCTCACGGAAACTCCTCTACCTTATCAGCCTTGTCGTCCTCGAGCTCAAACTCCTTCTTCTTGACAGTCTTGAGCTGGTTACGGAAGTTGAACTCGGCAGCCTTCTTTTGGAGCTTGGCGAACTTATTCTCGTACTTGGAGACCTTCTTCAGAGTGGGCTTGATGCTAAGAAAATGAGCAAAATTAATTTATAACCTAATGTTTTTTATATAAAGCGGTTTTGGACAACAAGTCAAATAAATAGGTGTCTAGGATTGTCTAATCTGAGCTTTACTGATGCCGAATCAACCTTGCACTGAACTCTGGAAGAGACATGTTCTAGATTTGTTCACGTTATGGTAGAATTATTCATGATCGGAAGCCTCAAAATGTTGAGTAACATTTTGTTGATCTTAATAAAGGGGGACGAAAGCATCTTTTTCAAACCGAATTACTAAAATTTTTCAATCCAAAGATTCCGCTATAAGTTACACGTTCACAAATGAATCTAAATTATGAGAGACGATCAATTACAATAAAATCTTTACTCTTCACTTTGAAGAAAATGATACAAGTTCAGTAATCTTGTTACGGTTTATCTAGGTTGAGAAACACGTCTTCATTTAATTGCCTGGTTAAATTTTTAAGCATAGCTTTCAGTTTTCACGAAGGAAACGCCTAACCAATCCAAAATTTGTGCCGAAGTTTCCCACCCGCAACGACAGCGGAAACTTAAGTAATCTTTCAGGTTAGCCATGCGCTCAATGTATATTTGAATTACATGTAAGCCTGCCGAAATTTCCATAAATTAAAAAATATAGTTTTGTGGAAATTATTACAGTAGTAACTGCCGCGCACAACGATTAGGTTTCGTTCTCGCAACACAATCTTGTGGAGCGCTTTACTGTCATGTAACGAATGCAAAAACAAAAGCTAGTCATCTTATCAGAACAATATTCAAATTCAGACTGAACACAAGAAACTCCAGAATCATATGCAACCAAATGCACTTCCACAAAAACGTGGGAGACTGGAACCTAAGTTGAGCTATTCGCGCTGAATGATGAATTGATAATAAGCAATTTATAAATAAATTATGAATCATTAGGCCGATCTAAAGTTATGCTTGGACGAAGTATCCCAGACGGGAGGATAAACTGCCATTTATGAACTGCTCATTCTAAAGCCTGGTTGACCATGTTGATGGTAGGCATGTTCAAGTAAAGATATGCATGTTCAAGGTAATNGATAAGGGTACGCATGAACAAGGTAAGGGTACGCATGAACAAGGTAATGGTACGCATGAACAAGGTAAGGGTACGCATGAACAAGATAAGGGTACGCATGAATAAGGCAAGGTATACGTATATTGGTATACTCACAATTTGCCGCGTAAGTCGTTCACTTGAATGTTGAGTTCGTTGATCTATTGGAATGCACGAAGTTTGTTAGAACTTATCTCATGAGGCCACATATAAATTTGTTCATAGAGACAATGAGTAAATATTTTCCCTAGTGAAGTATTTCAAAAACTTGCGTAGAAATGTAGTGAACTAGAGAAAATTAATACTGATATTCTTGAAGCAATCCGCAAAAAAAAAACATTTTTCACAAGTTGACAATTGCTTGCAAAACAGAGAATTTTTTACAAGATTTGGATATACTCCAAACAATTTCATAACGACTATATTTGAAGAAGTGAATAAGGAATACTTTAACAAATTTTACAGATCTTAGGACAAAATTATTGTAATAATAAATTATTAAAATTTATACATATGATATTCATCAATTTTTAACAGAAATCTTCATAAGTAAAAAGTTGAAATAAATTTATAGCTAACAATTAAGGACAAATAATACCATTAAAAAAGAAATTAAGTAATTTTAGTCAAGAAGCGGTTTAGATTTTTAGCTTTACAGCGACCACACAAATCAGGATATCTCGCTACGCAGGAATCCAACTGGGAAAGCTCAGGATACGGGGAACGGGATCAGGATTTCTGGGAATAACATAAAATAACATTCTTAATACGATATAGTTTTAGGTGGGGGGTGTACGGGGTCTAGCATCAATGGCGTTTTGTGGGTCCAACATCAAGGGCGTTGTGTGGGTCTAACATCAAGAACATTTGTGGGTCCAACATCAATGACGTTTTCTGGGTCCAATATCAGGGGGTGTTTTGTAGGCGTTAAAACATCAAGGGCGTTGTGTGGGTCCAACATCAAGGACTTCGAGTGGGTCCAACAAGGGCGTTTTATTGCCCCATATCAAGGGCGTTTTGTGGGTCCAACATCAAGGGCGTTGCGTGAATCCAACGTCACGAGGGTTGCGCGGATCCAACATCAAGGGCGTTTTGTGGGTCCAACATCAAAGGTATTTTGTGGATCCAACATCAAGGGCGTTGTGTGGGTCCAACATCAAAGGTGTTTTGTGGATCCAACATCAGGGGCGTTGTGTGGGTCCAACATCAAGGGCATTGTGTGGTAAAACATCAAGGGCGTTATATGTGGATCCAACATCATGGACGTTTTTTTGTCCATTATCAAGGGCGTTGCAAGGGCTCAACATCAAGGGCGTTGTGTGGTTCCATCAAGAGCGTTGTGTGAGTCTAACATCAAGAGCGTTGTATGGAGTCCAACATTCAGTGGTCATGCCTTCCAATTCAATTAGAGAAATAGTGTTGCCATTATTAACATCTTGTTGGCACTGCATTCGATCGTCGCTGGTTTAGAATATTTCGCACTGGGGAAATGCTAGAATTATTTTTCTTATAATTTTAATTTACATTCTCAGAATCACAACGTCTAAGATATCATTTGAATGCTTCAGTCGAAAGAGAGTTCAAGACAGCCTTTCTTTCATTCATTCTTCAAGTCAAATCTAGACTGTCGACGTCACAACTAATCTTAAGGAATTTGTCAAGAAGGTAAATTTAAACATGGTAGTCTCAAATGATTCAATGTTTTAGCTCCTTCGAATACTTTACGACTGCATTCAATGAAAGCAGCATCTGGCCCAGGGGCTTTCAAAGAGAATTTTGCACCCAAAAATGCCATCTCTGGCTTTGAAAGAGCTAATTTGTACTTCTATTGGCATGATTTCCTCGTCTCACAAAGTGAAATTATTCTTTTTGACTGTCACAGTATGACATAATTAATTATCAGATACAAGAATCTATTTGGGTTGAAACAATATCTCGTCGTATAACTCAGTCCATATCCTCGTCCGTCACCGAAGTCACGAGACTCGCAAGCGGCCAGACTGAAGACAGAATTCTCTGTCCACGCAATTTACCTTTAAATAAAGTATTTAAAAAGTTGACTTGAAATATAAGTGTCCAAAACATTCGTTAGAAAGCAAATATTCTTATGTAAAGGTGCACTAAGAAATTTCCATTTAGAATTAAATTAATTCACTAGAGATGTGTCTTCTGATAAATTGGCAGGGATGAGGTACTATTACAGTGTCATGGAGGCCAGTCAAGCACAAGCAGTTGTTCCAATTGTAGTATAATGACTAACATTAAAACATTCGGAAGAGTTCCTATAGTAAGTCATAGAATTAGAAACGTAGAAGGCGTTTGCTGAAACGGTCTCGACGATTCTGTACAGTTTGGCAAAGACTGCGCAGCAAATCTATTCTTCAACGGATCATTCGGGAGACAGAGGCATACATTCTGGAAGGGAAAGGATACAGCACGAGATCTGGCATGGGGACAATCAAGTGAAGACCATATATTGTACGGGAAAACTCTTCCTTGGGGTTCTTTGCTGACACACGGGAACAATTGGTTGATATTCGACGAACAAGGAACCAGTTAACCAGTTGGACTGGTTAACTGGAACAAGATACCAGTTAAAATGTTAGTAAAGTAAGTTTATCTGAAGCCTCAAGAAATAGAAAATCTACTCAGTACTAAAATAAATCGCTGCTTAATGAGACAATTCAGCATTTAGGTATAACAGTAAAATATCATACCCACAGAAAATTATTTGGTTAAGATTACTATAATTAGTGAATAAAGAACTAACGAGACAGGAGCAGGGCATCTAAAACTTAAAGGAAGGAACAGGACGGAGGGACTCGAGCAAGACGATCTGCCTGTGAGTCCCCAGTAGGTGTCACATATACACAGGCAGTTCACGACTCATTCTTTTTTTGATATGTAAAGTCACGTGCAAATCAAGGGCAATAAGTCGTGCTGTAAAGGACGTTATACAGGCTTGCTTCTATGGAGGACTTTACAGAGTATGGCACTTCCAGTATATTTTACCTGTTGTCTCGCATCAATGACGAGTAATTGAAAGATCTTAGGTACAAGTGGAACGTTCAGTTCAGCTTGTTTTGAGGCAGGGATAGCTTGGTTGCAAAAAAATAGAGTGCCCTAAGCAAATGACCTTTGCTTTTTTCAAAATTCATAGCCGTATAAATAAAAAATCAGCCAGAATATGAGGAGCAATATGTTGGATGCAAGAATCAATATAAAAACGAAAAGTACTTAACAGCGTGCATGTGCCCTTTGGTCGGTGCGATATCCCTAGTTAAATAGTAGAATATAAGTAACAAATAGTGAGGTTAAACCGCGGCGCGTGGTTACACGGTATGAAGTGCCATACCTGAGGAATGAAAGACCTCTTGGATAATGAGAGACCCATGGGGACTCCAGTCAAGCAGAAGGATAAAAGGGATGCAAAGAGAGATATGAAGCAGCTAGGGTAGTGGAAGAGAACAAAGTATCAATGGAGCTCATGTCTTCTGCCTTAAATTAGATTATATGTTTAGCAGACCGATTAATACTGGACGTGAATTGGAAGATGATAAGTTACTTTACCACAAGATTACTCGTATTATCAAAGAGCTTTGTTAAGTTGAAGCATCTCACTGAAGGGAGACGTGGGAGACTGCAATTTGATTACGCTTTATTTGCGAGGTTTTTGGTTAAGACAGGCAGGATGTTAGCAAGCAAACCTAGCTTCAAAGACAGTTGAGGGCGGGAGACGTTTAAGAGTGCCTCTCTAAAACACCACTTGTACAAATATGTATTTATTTTATTTATATAGAGAGGGATGGGGAGCACCGCAACTACCAAAGACGCCACGTTCATCATTTATTATTAGTGACGGGTTCGATCCATCTAAACGTTCTGGTTCGTTTTAGCTCAAAACATTGGGTCAGCCCCGGACTATGAAACTCAAAAGATCCAAACTATCACCAAGATTTCCTTACTTCATCTTGATTAACTGAATAGATATTAACGTTGGACTGAAATTATTATCTACCTGACTGCGTCCATTCTTCCTTACATCTTAGCTCATCTTTCAGAACTGATGCCTCAGAAATTGAATGTTATACAGATCATGCGTTATTTGGGAGAATAATTTTCGGTGTTGAAGGGCTGAAAAATACGGGCCAAAGCATCGTACTGCCCTTGGTGATTGGCTAAAGTTGCTATGGCTAATATCAACGATGAAAATATTAGACGACCATCATCAGGTCCTACGGAGAACAGTTAGTAGAACAAACATGATGAGAGGAAGAAAAGTGACTTATAACACTGACTAAAAAGAAACAAGAATGACCGGCACGACATGCTGTCGGCACTAGCAATAGAAATGCCGAAGAGAACATTTCAGCTCGGATGATTTCAGCTTTACTAGAGGTTTAGGCCATTGTCGCTTACGGCAGCAACGCAAACAATAAAGAATAAAAGGATGCAAAAGATTTAGCAGGAATAGAATCTAGAAGCTCCTACAAAAGAAGAAAGAGGTAAGAAGTTAAGAAAGAACGGAGGAGATGCTGAGGAATAATATTATGAAGCACATAGGAAGACTAAGACATGCCACAAGAGAACGAGACACAGCGACCACAGTCTAAGTTAGGCGAGAGGATGGAGTAAACCTGCGTTCGACATAGAGAGCTCTTGCGCTGACTTCGGAATCGACCAACTGCTCTGAAGGAACAATCCTAACCACGAAGAAGAAATGTTATTCTGATAAGAAATGTTCTACTCATGTTGCTGGAAACAAGTCGGTATGTCGAGTGAAGTCAGTGTACGAGCAAACGATGAAGAACGAGTCTACTACGTAACTGAATCACACGCAAAGCAGAAAACCACATCGGCACCACACAAGGCAACGCCGTTGTGGGGATTCTGGGTTGCGGGAACTATCCATAGCATTTTTGGCTCCGGCACTTCATACAGGTCATGCCACTGGCGGAGAGAATCTATAGCGCCATCTATTGATCCCTGTCTAGCCATGCTGGAAATCACGCTCCTTCAAACTTTATGGCTAATCATTTGCAAGTTAGGCACTCGGCGACTAATATGAAACGCACTCTTAGCTTTTGTCCTTGTAAGGAAGAAATGACCACAATAAGGTAGTTTCAAATTGTTTGACGCAACGAAATTCGGAAAATTTTAGGAAATACTTTTGGTGTAAAATGTGAAAAAGTTTGCGCTAGTCGAGGGCTGTCCCCGAGTGATCATCTCACACTACTAATAATGGCACTCACGACGCAATTCGTACCTCATAATCTCGCCTCCGAACCTCATACTCAAGATCCCATTTCTGGGACTCGCAAAGGAACAATCGCTCGTGGTATTCCTTGCAGATTGCTTTAAGTTGTTCTATAATAGAATACTTTGTTAAAGCATAAACATTCGAGCTTTATGGCCCATGGCAAGAATGACATGGCGGTGCAACAGGTAAAACATACATAGACATCATGTACATGAAAATGTGTAACGCTCAGTCCGAAAAGAAACGCAAGAGGACCGGACTTCGCAGTCAAAACAAAGTTGTGACATATAACATGATGCCACAAAATGAGATGAAATTCCTCCATAAAAGCCTGTAAGAAAACAAAATTAACTACACCGTAATGAGTTAAAAAAAGCTTTTTAAGAGAGCCACGAGGCAAGCTTTGGCTCGTTTACTAGAGCAAACACTCGGGTGAGGCGATTCTCAGAGGGATGCACCATGGCTCGTTTACCTGGTAGTCCCTCATTTTGATAGCATGATCTAGGTCCCACTTGTCACCTTCAAGATCAGTTATGCGTTGTTGAAATTCCCTAAGGAGTGTTTGAAGTTCAGCTACAAACAGAAAATACAAAAGCGCATTAGGGTCCGTTGCCCCACACAGACATGAATGGAAACAAAGGGAATAAACATTCTACATGATTACCGCTGGCAGAGCTGGGAACAACTGAGACTGAGACCTGTTTAAGGGGGGTGGTCAATAGGCTGATGTTTGAGGAGTATGAGGTACATTGAGGGTAGGTGAGGATGAGACCACACTGGGAACATGGATACCTGCTTGGGGGAGCGGTCAGGAGGCTGACGTTTGAGGAGTACGAGGTACATTGAAGGTAGAAGGTAGAAAGGTTGAGGATGAGACCACACTGGGGACATGGAGACCTGCTTAGGGGAGTAGTCAGGCGGAGGACGTTTGCGAGGTGTCAGGTAAACTTAGGATGGCAGGTTGAGGATGAGACCACACTGGGGACATCGAGGCACTCATAGCGTTGTGTTTGTGTTTAGAGTGTCAGCAGCGAGGGTGCAAATGAATTGGAAAACCAACTTCGGCACGACAATCAAAATTTCTCTTCGATAAAAATGAAAATGTAACATCATGAAGGTTACAGCCATCTAGCTACTCTCGAAGCAGAGTTGAGGCCATTCATTAGAGCACCGATGCAGACCAAAAAGAATAATAACATCGAGAAGCCACAAATTGTCCTTTTAAACGTGTGTTTCTTTAACTGAGTTAAGATTAACGAGGGGATAAAACAGCTGTTAGCGTATTGGCTTTTCAAATTCTTGTCAGTTGAACAGCAGAAGGCATGTAAGCCTCGAGCAACGCTCCTGACAAGTCTAGCCGCAAAAATCATAAAGAATAATTGAAAAAATAATTTGAATTAACTAAGTAAATTAAAATGATTCCAATTTAAACAGTTGGGTAACGCGAATGAATAAATGCGGCCCATGGTATCAGGCTTTACACAAACCTCATAATCCTTGCGCATTACGTCCATTTCACAATCGTACTTTTTGTCTTCTATCTCAACAACTCGCTTGTGATACTCCTCAATAATGCTGCGCAGTTTGTCTGTAGGTGGAGACCGTTTAGAGAGGACATGTCCAGCACATTTAACTACACCGTCAGCTCTTCTGATGCCTTCTCAGCGGTCTCAAATTTTCAAAATCAAAAATCAAAATGTCCACTTGGGGGGGGCTTCCGAGTTTCACGTAGGGTGAAATGTAATGTGTAAATGATTGACTGACTTCTACACAGTGAACATTTCTTGACTCGGCCTTGATTTCTAGCATGGTATGAATGTGGTAGCGCAGTACGTTTTCCAATATGAAAAATACTTATTATTGCTAGAAAAACCATTGAGGTTTAACAATGTTATCCTGTTAGTAGCTGCCTTCTGATTCCATCAGACTATTTACACTAGATTTCGATGGAATACTGTCATGTCGACCTTAAATACAATTATTTTTAATCTGTTAAGCTATTTACACTGTTTATAAGCACAGAAATCTTGGCAGAGGCAAGATTTATGATAAATGGTGATAAATGAACCATGTTGGAGTGACGGGACGGTTGGGGCGGGACGAATTGAAGAAACGACGTTCAATGGGATGTCAAGTTTGTTCATGGAGTGGGATTAATACTGTGAAGGGGCAGACCAAAGTGAAGAAATATTCAATGGGATGTTATGTCTACTCATGGAGCGGGATTAATACTATGAACGGTCGGAGCGAAGTGAAAGGACCGCATTCAATGAGATATGAGGTCTGCTCATAGAGTGGGACTTGGACTTTGAGGGAGAGAGTAAAGTCCAGTCGAGTTCTGATGCAGGATTCCTAATTTGAGAGAGGTGCAGTCTAGTCAAAATGTAAGCCAGGAACTATATCGTGGATAAGATACGATCCTGTCAGATTCTGAGGCAGGACTATCTGTGAAAGAACGAAAATTCCAGAAAGTTCTAACGAAGGAATAGTACCACGAATTGTACTTGATAGTAAATCCATCTTTTCTATATGATATCTAACGCGATTTGCCAGCTAATGTTTATAGTTGAGTTAATGATTGTTGAGGTGACAAATGGAAGATGGCGGTGATAGTGAAAACGAAACCTAGAGCTATTGGGGCTCTTGGCCGGAACGGTTTACGCAAAACTCACAAAAATACACAGTAAATAAAGTTAATTTTAATGGAAGCAGCGGAAGCAAACTTAGGCTGGAATGATTCATAAAAAAATCAAGTAACTACCGCTTATGAAATGGTACGGATAGTTAAAAAATCAAAGATCTACATGAATTACAGGGTATCGTTACTTCAAGAACACAATTACTAATCAAATGTCCCCGCTTATACTTTTCAAAACCATTGAAAATATTAGTAGTCGAATTTGATTCCTTTAATTATCTACTGGCTCAAGTTCCTCAATTGTGAAAGGCTAAGGGTTAGAAAAGGAATAAATTTACCGAGGGACTTTATTAAAGCGGAGCGGTTTAGCTTTAAAGGAACGGGATGTTGGCAGGCGTTATTTCTTACTGCAACTGAAAATTAAACTTCTTAGAGCTAAATTATATTGACTTGCTGTTTCAATCATCATCGTCCCTAAACTTATTATCGAAATGAATTTTTTATAACGAAATACCAGTTTTTGAAACAGTGCCTGAGCCTACAATTATCAGCACCCAAATTCATCGAAATCCCACTTTTATTATCAGCATTAATAAATAGGCCAGTCGCGTAGCAGTCAGCAATATATATTTTCCCCTTTATACAATAAAATTTCAATCTTGATGATATTCGTTGGTCCCTATGCCTCCCAGTGTGATTGTTTTTCTTAAACCTCCATTTAGAAAATCACTCATGCAAACGAGTGTCTGCAAAAAAACTCTTAGGTCACATTGTGGATAAAAATTATTATTTCCGAAAAATTTTCTTGTGACTCTTATTAATCCTGCTGGGACAGCAATTGAGTTTTTGCTTATCTTAGCTCAAACGATTGACAGTGATAGGCAACGCTTCTAGTTCGTGCTGTATTGTTCTGTCTAATCGAAATATGCTCGATTGAAATGTCTAGACTCTAGATTGTAATGTCTAGAATATAATGTTTTTGTCCGAGTTTCTGAATAAGCCAGATTTGGGGCGGATGTAAGCCGTGCAGGATTTGGCCATAGAAGACCACTATTTGTGTGGAATTAGAGAGGCCTTCTTAGGGATGGACCGGCGTGGGAATGAAAAGTTACATATGGAATGGTCCACATGGTGGGCCGGTGTGGGAATGAAAAATTACACATGGAATGGTCCGCATGGGTTGCTGAGACGGAGGTCGTGTGTACAAAAATGGGTTTACGGAGAGGAGGTTGACAAAAGGTGTAGCCATATTTCTACGGGAGACATAGAACATGGAATGAGATCTCGAAGAGAACATACAATGTATAAATAGCATGGTTTTGTGTACCCTATAATATGAACGCAACAATAATTTAAAAATACAAAAATTTGAAAAAAGTCCCTAGCAAAATCTGAATGGAGGAGACCCTGGAGTGCAAGAGGAAGACAATATCTGCTGAGAAGAATAAAGAAATACAGAAATTATTATTAGACGTAAAAAATATATATTGCCAACTAGTGTCATTGAGGCATTATACAATCACCGGCTTATTTCATTACCTAGAATTCATTTAGTTGAAAAATTCCTCCTAGCCGGACATCTAAAACTTGATTTTCAATCTAATATGCCATCTTTTCGCTAGTTTCATTGTGTATATATCCATTTAAAACAGTTCCGTTCGATAACTCCTGCAAGAGCGATCACAAGCACACATACCATCAAAAGAGGTGGTAATAATGAATTCTTGCTAAAAAAGAGCAAAGTGGCTTTAGTATCAATGTAATGCTCAAGGACATCCAAATGATATGGAATCACATTTTCATAAGATATTGATTTGCTAATTCAAGTTATCCTAAATCAGTTATAAGAAGTTAATTTACGCTCTGTCAATAAAATTTGTCAGACTCTTCCAATCTATCTTCAACTTCTCAATGCCCTAACTTTCCAATAACCCTTTGAATAATTATGCTTCAACTCAGTAGCCTTCTTCACACAAGAGTTATTAGAGACTCACCTATCCGACACATCGACCCCAGTTTACTATACTCTTCAACAATTTGCTCACGTCGTGTGATCTCTGCCAGCTTTCACTTATTTTAAATTACCTTCGCAAACTGAATTTCCCAGCCTTGTGCAGACAATTGATGAATTCAGTATTAACCATCAACAAACGACTAACACGACAACACTACATCTATGTCAATCATACTAAAACTAAATACAATTCAGGTTCAACTTTCTATTCGCAAAATTCTTTTAGACCTTTGCTCTCATCTCAGACTTCAGCATTCTTAATTAAAGGCCCTTTTCAGTAAAACCTTTAATAAATAAAGTGTTCAAGACCGTTGCGTTCTAAGTAATAATAAAGTGTTCAAGACCATTGATTTTTAAGACCGTTCTCTTCGAACTCAATGAGCACTAGCATTTGTTCGATAAAAATAATCTAATATAATCTTGTGTTCCGTAACAACAGAATTCTGGAAATTTACGCAGTCAAAATTCATGCAGTCATATAAATGTTTACAACGTCCTAAAATGCGTCGGTGTTAAAACACCTGAAAGTAACTAGGATGGGAATCTTTAAGTTTTTTTATTAAACACGGACATATTGTTGAATCTTCACGAGCATGCTGGCGTTTGCCTAACAAACCGACTTGTTGAACTGTTGCGGCCCGCCCGCGAATTAGATTTGACTCGAATATCCAAATAGTTGTTGAACTTTCGCGGCCCGCAAATTAGACAGGACCCAAGTAACCGACTAGGTGTTGAACTGTTGCAGCCCGCAAACTAGGTTCATCAGACCTAGGTAAGAACTTTATGTTGATTCCTTAAGTCCCCGTAAACTAGATCGAACTGTAACCCACTAGATGTTGAACCGTTACCGCCCCGCGAACTAAGTTGTTTTTTCTTCAAACTCACCGACCCCTTCAACCTGAGTTGGTTGTGTTTACCTTCATTAGCTCCATCCAGATTTTTGGGCTGGCCACAGCGCTCGTCGATGATCTTGCGCCTTTCGGCGGCTTTCCTCTCCTGCTCCTTTTTGAGCTCCTCAGCAGCTTTCTTACGCAACAACAGCTGCCGGAGTCACATAAATATATCAATTAATTGGACACGGCCATTAATCGCGAGAAATTTTCAACAGAAATATATTGTGAAATAACGTTGTTGTCAGTATGAAAGGTCAGTCAGCAATTCTGAGTCTCGGTCAGAAATTGTTTGACCGAAATTTAACCTCCAGATCTTGGACTTCAAGTTCGGGAATTCAAGCAAGGATTTACTCTGCTTAGTACACGTTAACCCATACCAACCACGACATGACCTAAAGTAAGTGTGTCAACTAATTTGAGAAAATTAAAAAACTTTGTGGCAACTGAAATTATTTAACTGATTCCCGAGGAGAGATGTGCTATTATAATTTTTTCGGTGGTTTGCTCCACTGACTCGCTGAAACCTAATAATCACTCAAACCTGCACTCACCCTGAGCTTCTTCTTGCGCTCTGGTGTCATGAAGCCTTTCTTGGCCTTCTTTTGGCTGGATTCTTCGAGCCTTTTGCGTACATCGGCCTTTTTCTTCTCGATCTCCAAGGCCTTCTGTCTTGCAGCCTGTTGGTAACCAAACGATTAGTGCACAGAAAAGTCGTGAAAAATCCTATGCCCAACCAATCTGAATAATTTATCTACCTGCCAGTACCAAACAAACCTTACACTAATAATAACTAACTGACAAAAAAATGTCAAATTAAAAACCAGTCAAAAGTGGTAATACAAATGAAGATGAAGGAAACAAGTTATAGCCTGAAAAAGAAGAGAAAGTTAATACCTGAAAAGAAATGATTTAGGAAAAGATGAAGCGATTGATTTCATTAAATTTAGTGATCAAACAAAGTTTTAAGAAATTGGGATAGGTTACGTGTGTGATTCCCGAGGTAAAGCTGAAGGCAATTGGAGAGCACCGCCCTCGCTTCCATTTCTAAATTTTATGAATGATTAACAAGGAAAAACGACAATGACAAACAAGGTATGATGCTATGCTTTCTTAAAACTTTGCAGCTGACCAACGACAAACGTATTACTACGCATCGTCAACGCTGACACACGTATTACTACGCGTCGTCATCGCTATTACGCGTATTAATACGTATGAACGTGGACACACATTACTACGCGTCACCGCAGCTGCAAGTCACTTCCCTTCGCGGGTGGTGACCGCAACATCGCGACGGGACAGTGTGCACAAAATGTCTCCAGACATCCAGTGCCAGACGTTATGCCTCGTAGTTCTGGATACAGTGTAAGAGGATTGTCTCTGATCAGGCATGTGTAAATTCGTCATTGGAATCGGTTTGATCTGTAGATTTATTTCAATATCCATTAGGAAGATGTCACCCGCCTGCAAAATCCCGAATCACTTGACATAACGAAATTCCCGCTGCACGATTCTGATTGTAAGAATATCTACCGGCTGAGCCAGAATTGTGGTGTGACGCCTTGTAAAATGAATAAGTATTGATGCCAAAGCATCGTCCATTGTTACTGTTGCTATTTTCATTCAATATCGGCGGCGTCGTCGTAGCATGGACAGGGACATTTTGCTCCTGCGGGTCAGGGAAGATGGGGGGCTGGTGAGATCGACATTAGCCGTCACCTCAGCCCCCCACCTCCAGCGGAGGGGAGACGATCCCTCCACGCCAGCACACGTATTTCCGTCGCATCATATTCAGGGCCACGACACTTTACAAAAACAAATGCACCATAAAGAATATTCAAGACTTTTAAGCCAGAGGTGAGCGTACTGAGTTTAGATAACATTAGAATAATGTTCAATTACTCCAATATCATCTACTCCGCAGCATCACGATTGTAAGGCAGAAAAATTCTTTATCTTAGAAACATATTTAATTTGGAAGATCATAAGAAGATATTTCCCAGATCATTTCCGTTAGCTTCAATGGCACGAAGATGACGTTCGACTAAAGAGTGCTGGTTAGGCAACGTCGACTCCCGTCCGCCGCTCTACCAGACCTAAAGCCACCGACCCGAGGAATGACTTGTTGGCATGCAAGCAGCCTTCTTGCCACTGAGATATTTCTTTTCAAAAATTTAAACTCATTTTCGATACTTTATGCTTATATTTTCAGATAGATAGATTAATTGTAGATATAAATGTCAAAGCATGAGTGGAGGGCATATTAGACACCCCATTGGCAGAGAAGCGTTGCGAGTTCGTGAATGATCTACGCGTGGCAAACTAGGTGGTGCCCGGGCTTCGGAAAAGAGGGACTCTGCGGCACTCTAAACCGTGAATCATTTCTTATTTAATTGTACATTTATTCATAGTACAAGCAATCTTGTCGCTAGTGCACGGAATGATTCATTTTTTTAAAAGATTTATTTAAATAACTCGTGGAACATTTTATTTCGATCAAACTCGAAGAATTCAGTTCCCAGTGATTGAACTCGATTATACCATTTTAGACTGATATCGATATAAAAATCACGGTTCACTATGTGAGTAAACACATATTTGAAATAGATACCTTCGTGAGATAACTCCTACAATAATAGCCTCCTGACTTGACTCACTAATTGCCTATTGCTGAGCATCATTCAATTCACAGAAGTCCGAGCAGCACCGAAGTGTCAAGTTAGTGGCGGGCAGCAACCAACCAGCTCGTTTACTAACTAAATTACTTGTCTCATATCGATCTCGTTTTACAATTCAAACGAGTTTTTTAAATCTTTTTCAGTGTAATTCATATTATTACTTTCTTCATTCATGTCATTCAATGATGAAAGAATCATGAATGTTTGTTTATTCATCATTGCTTCGATTTTTGAACAGTTTAATCGCCAGTTGATCAAGTAAGCCGGCTGGGAACATGCGGGTTGGTCACAGCCCAGACACGCAGAGCAGTTGCGGGGCGTACATACTCACAGATACTGCATAAAATTTCCCAGTTATTCTGCTCAGCCTTCAATGCCTGTTATTAAGTCAATAGTAGTGTAATAAAAAGTTTAGAGCAGCTTATTGTATTCAGTTAAAAATTATTCCAACAGCTGTCGTTACGTTCCTTGAAGAGGAGAAATTGTAGCTATCAAGTCGCATAATTCAAGGCAATTCATTATTACAAGATCTCTGAATTACGTTCTGCAGTTTTTCTTCAATGGATAGTCAATTCAATAAATTTTTTGGCGAAACATTATTTACAAAATTAATTTCATGACCGTAACTAAAAAGAGGGCAATTTCGCATATTTACATTATTGACAAATGTAGTCAAAGTTACACACTATCCCACTATTTGATTCTCCATATTTTGAAAGTCAATGCTATACTTCAAAGACTATAAATGATCCCCGTATGTGCCCGCTACACCGCAGCATGCAGTTAGAAACACAGCACTCTGAGCACACCTACTTCCAGCATAGCGGCCTGCCGCTTAGCTACCTCGGCTTTGGCCTTCTCCTGTGGGAGGAAATTGTGCAAACCGGCGGGTGAGACTTGGCATCAGTTCGAAGGTTGAGTGAGTCGTTGAGTTTAGGATGTAGGGCGAGGGATGAGGTGGGCGAGTGATTCAAGGGTGATAACTGGCAAATGATTTTTTGTTTCAGCAACAGGTGGTTGAAATTAGGAAAGTAGATGCGTGACATGTTGGATCATATTAAGAATGTACAATATGGGATAGCTTGAGGTATGTTATGATAGACAAACTCCGAGTTAGGAGGATGAAAGCCTAAGTGATATTAGAAGTATTTTTTATTTTAGAATATTAGTGGGAGTGTAGCTCTCGGAGTTGAAATGGGCACCTAATTAATTATATGAACGTATTATTTCATTTCCATGATAATGAGATCTATTGAAGATGTTTAGAAGAAGATTTATACCATAAAGTCTTGCAAGTGGTTATATTCAAGCAGAGAAGTGAACTAATAGAATGAATGAAAAGGATTAAAAAAGGTGAAATGGAATTAATGTAAAACACTTCATGTGAATTATATTACCATTACAATTCTTGGTAATGAAGTCAATACACGAGAAAATACACAAAACAATAACATTAGTTGAATGTTTCATGAATATAAGAAAATAAATTAACTCATAGACGTAGCGAAAGATAAAACAAAAAATAATAGATGTAATGACATTTTTAACCTAAATCAACAAAATTAAACAACTATCAACATAAGTTCCAAGTCCTACATAGACATATGCTCTCTCAACACAAATAAACCCAACTAATCCATATATCCCGCGCAGGTTCTCAAAATAGGAGACTACGTTGAATAAACTATTCACTATCTACGTGGCAATTAATGGACTGACACTACAGTTAGAATTTTGCTAATAAGATCTAAGGCATTTACTATTGAGTATTTACTATCACCAGTGCACCTGATGACTATAGACACTCCTCTAAGCAACAACATTCACTAACTAAACAACAACAGTGGAGCTTGAAGGACCATCCACATTCATAAAAATAAATGAGTAATATTGTCCGAATAACGACATACTCTCTCACCCGCAGCTTGAGCAGAGAGCGGACGAGGCAATGCAATGCCTTCTATTTTTTTGTCGCGCCAAATTAGGCCAAGACGAATCAAACAAATGCACAAGTGCATCGTTATTTGGACAAAGCCTCAACTATTTCTACGAGTGAAAATGTGCATTCAGCCCTGCAATAGAATAAAGCTGCTACATGAACATCTACCCATACATTAATATGTAACAAAAACAAATTCTTAACTAAACAAGCAACGAAATGGTTGTCTACGATAAGGATTATTATATGGATTATTATACGTAGTTCTATTGCTTTGCTCTCACTATTTTACGGGCAGATTTAAGTATTGTTTCAACCATTTCAAGCGGCCATTGCCCGCTTATCACAGATATAAAACAATATTTTTAAAATGTTTTTAAAAAAAGTTAGTAATAAAGTTAGTAATAAAAAGTTTTTTCACTGTTTTTAGCTTTAATCTTTGATATCAAATTAATCTATTTCAAAGTATTAAAGCAAACGCTCGTGTCACACTTATTTGATTTGCCGAATCACGCTTATTGTACGTCAAACCTTAGTATTATCTCTGCTTAATCACAGGTATTATCTCTGCCTTATCACACGTGTTATCCCAGCCAAATCACGCATATTATCTCTGCTAAATCACACGTATAATCTCTGTCAAATCACGCATATTATCTCTGCTAAATCACACGTGTTATCTGCTAAATCACACGTGTTATCCATGTCAAGTCACTCATTTATATTTGCATAGGAGAAGCACGTCTCACCACCGCGCATTCTCACTGGTAAAAAAGGTTATCTGGACCAAGAATCATGAGGCTAAGTAAACAGACTCATTCAACACAGACTAATGTCAAATCATGTGAATTTTTAAAAATCTAACCGAAGTTCATTAGTAGAACCACACACACAACTTAGGGTTGTTCGGGAGCCAGGAGCCGATCTCAGTTCCGTGTTGATCCAAAACTAATTTTGACATCAGCGTAAACTATTGATATTGATTCAAAGTATGAAAGTGAGGCTTAAGGTTGCGGTTCACTAAGAAGATAAGGCTTAAGGCCACGGTTCACTATGATTATAAGGCGTAAGGTCACGGTTCACTATGATTATGAGGCTTAAGGTCACGGTTCACCATGATTATAAGGCTTAAGGTCACGCTTCACTGTGATTATAAGGCTTAATGCCTCGGTTCACCATGATGATAAGATCTAATGTCTCGGTTCACTATGATGACGAGGCTTACGGTCACGGTTCACTATGATTATAAGGCTTAAAGTCACGGTTCACTGTGATTATAAGGCTTCAGGTCACGGTTCACTATGACGATAAGACTTAATGTCTCGGTTCACTATGATGATAAGGCTAAAGGTCACGGTTCAATATGATTATAAGGCTTAAGGTCACGGTTCACTATGATGATAAAACTTAATGTCTCGGCTCACTATGATGATAAGGCTGAAGGTCACGGTTCACTATGATGATAAAACTTAAGGTCTCGGCTCACTATGATGATAAGGCTTAAGGTCACGGTTCACTATGATTATAAAACTTAAGGTCTCGGCTCACTATGATGATAAGGCTTAAGGGCACGGTTCACTATGATTATAAGGCTTAAGGTCTCGGTTCACAATTATGATAAAACTTAAGGTCTCGGCTTACTATGATGATAAGGCTTAAGGTCACGGTTCACTATGGTGAGTCTAAAGGTCAAGATTAACCATGATGATGAGGCTGTATGGTCACGGTTCACTGTGTTCACTTTTAAACAGTGAATACCGTGCAGGGACCGGTCATTTTATTAGAGGAATATAAACTAACATTTCACCACGCCCTGCTTGTCTCGACTGGAATTAATTAATGATTTGAAACGATCCCATAGTTTCAGCAATCATTTGAATCTATAACATGTCTAATAATTGTGTCTTCATCTCAATTTGTGAATAACTCCTTTTATTCTAATTGTGTGAATTGGATGAGAGAAATTAATTTCCCTTATTCTTAATGATTTATTGTTCGTGAACTGAGCAGTTATTGTCCTTGCAGAAAATTTGAGCCTCAATTGGCTTTTATATGCTGATCTTTTTTCATATTTTCTAATTTTTGAACTAAGCTGGTCTCAGACAAAGTTCCCAATGTTGATATTGTAAATTTACGTGACGTTTTCTTTGCCTTAAATTATTGGCGAGCATTTATCGTTTTTGCACCAGCTAGTATTGTGAGTTACGATCTAGTTTTTGCCTGCCTGAAATGCTAATTACTTAGCAGCAGCTATTACAATGAGTTATATTAACCATGATGATGAGGCTGTATGGTCACGGTTCACTGTGTTCACTTTTAAACAGTGAATACCGTGCAGGGACCGGTCATTTTATTAGAGGAATATAAACTAACATTTCACCACGCCCTGCTTGTCTCGACTGGAATTAATTAATGATTTGAAACGATCCCATAATTTCAGCAATCATTTGAATCTATAACATGTCTAATAATTGTGTCTTCATCTCAATTTGTGAATAACTCCTTTTATTCTAATTGTGTGAATTGGATGAGAGAAATTAATTTCCCTTATTCTTAATGATTTATTGTTCGTGAACTGAGCAGTTATTGTCCTTGCAGAAAATTTGAGCCTCAATTGGCTTTTATATGCTGATCTTTTTTCATATTTTCTAATTTTTGAACTAAGCTGGTCTCAGACAAAGTTCCCAATGTTGATATTGTAAATTTACGTGACGTTTTCTTTGCCTTAAATTATTGGCGAGCATTTAAAGTTTTTGCACCAGCTAGTATTGTGAGTTACGATCTAGTTTTTGCCTGCCTGAAATGCTAATTACTTAGCAGCAGCTATTACAATGAGTTATAATCTTACTTATTTTCCTGCACTAATTTGACGAAACAATCGCAGGATGTCCTAGCACTCACCGCTGCGGGGTCCTCTTCCTCAGACTCTTCCTCGGAGCTGTGCCGAGGTGGGGAGAGAGATGGGGTTAGCTGGGGCAGTGGGGTCGCGTGACTCACTAAGCACGTCAAAAATCCCCCGCCAAGATTCCCAAAGATTAATCTTAATTGTCACGGGCTGCCGTTCCAGGTCAATGAAATCAAATCATTATGATTAGATTTCATTATTATTATTCATCATTATGATTTTCTAGTTGAATTTTTAAACAGTTGATTGGATATTGCGATAGCGCAAATTGCCCTTCTTATGCCATCTATATTGCCATTTATATGAATTCCATGAAAATTTTCGGTGACAGATTCTAAGGACAGCCTGTGACGTCGAGGATTGATTTAAGTATTGACTGTATAATTATTAGAATAATTTTGTGCAGTTGCATAGAATTATTTGTTAAATTAGCTTTCTGCTCTTGTAAATATTATTTTCTCTATTTATCACGCAAAAAAATTATTATGTGCAAAATAACCTCGGCCAAAGAGTGAACTTTGTTTGTGATATGACAAATTCTCTGACGGGCATTTCGGTTGACGGGGAATTTTTCGACGTTCTCAGTGCAGATGAGCGCAGGACACGGCAAATAAAAATTAAGGTATAATGCACACGTGAATTCAACAATATTTTACAAAATTATTATTTAACAGAAATAATAGTGATCCAGTCTTGAGTTTTCATGGAGGCAATGTAACGTGACGTGGCCGTAGTATAACAGACTCCATCAAGGAGTATTGGCGTGGGATCATAAATTTAATTATCGTAACGAATTTCATGAATTAATTACTTGAATAATAATTGTGTTGCGATGCACAATGTGAATACGTTGAGTAATAATTGTGTTGCAATGCACAATGTGAATACGTTGAGTAATAATTGTGTTGCAATGCACAATGTGAATACGTTGAGTAATAATTGTGTTGCAATGCACAATACGTTAGACTGATGGAGATTCCGAGTTGCGACCACGACGCGTGTTTGCCACAATGTTTTTCGGTCAAACCCACTGACTCTGAATAGAAAAATTTTAAAACTAATGAAAAAATGTGACTGAAATGAATCTAATACGAGTAAATCAAGGGATAACAAGTGTAAACAAAGATGTAATGACAAACAAATTAAAGTATGATAACCTGTAAAATAAAGTAACAGCTGCAAAAATGTGTTTGCAAAATGTCATACTAGGAGAGCTTTGCATTTTGGTATTAAGTAAAGTGTAAAAACAAAGCGGTAAAATTATGAATGAAAGGCGAGCTTATTTTATATGTACAATCGTAAAACGTAAAATAATGGACAAACTGACATCGTAGGCACGGAATGTGGGGATAAAAATAATGGATTGTTCACGATTGGTCGGGGCACTGCAAATCACTTACCTAGCCTGCATACTGATGAGTTTAGGCCTCATAAAAAGCCTCACAAATCTCATATTAAATATAAAGCATGAACAAAAAATTGATGTTCACTCCACCCTGCCACGCCGGCAAAAGAACATAATGAAGGTCAGAAGAAGAAGCAAGTTTTGATTAGAAAATACGAGCGAGTTTCTCAAGGACTGAAACAAGAATTTAGTTAATCGAGTCGATTATTCGGTTTACAATGTTTTGTGGTGGATAATTATACATTAATATGGTGAGGTAAGAAATTTAAAAATACCGGTAAAATGTTTTGTGGTGGATAATTATACATTAATACGGTGAGGTAAGAAATTTAAAAATACCGGTACTTTGTTGATTGACTGAAATATCGAGACTTGGCGTAATGATTCGAATTAGAACATCAAGATTTGGAGCAAAGAATCGGATTGAAATAGTGAAGTTAGAAGCAATATATATGATTGAAATTTAGAAATTAAAGTAATGAATCAAAAGTATCTGGTTAAGTTGTAGGCTCCATTAATTGCAGTGTGTGTGCCGAGTTTTTGTTTCAGTGCAGAAGAGAAACTTGCTCAAGGGACCACGTGGGTTCACAGCTTATATGTACAGGGCTCCTCAGGGGCCGCGAGAACAGAGAACAAGTTAGCGCCACGGTGGGGAGTGCCGAGAAGATGTTTACCTTACAAGGAAACAAGCGATTTCAGTTTCAATTGGGAAGAAGGGTTGGATATTCGCTAACCCTTTTTCTGAAACGATGATTTAAACAAGAATTTTAAATCTGCCTTTGGAAAAGGGAGTTTAAAGTTTTAAAAAGAAACGACAGCTGAATTTGGCAATTTTCTGTCTTTTTGGGATTTGTCGAAGATACCCAAAGAGAATGGACCCTTCGTGAATCCAATGTATTCTGGAAAATTATTTATGTGATTTTTTCTAGTCATTTGAATGTAAAATTAGAATTTGTAATTATTTTTAATTTTTATTTGAAAGGGAATTTACGACATCTGCATCAACAACCCAACATAAGCGCTAAACTTGAGCTCGCAATTAATAAACTGCACAAGACGCAATGGTCACTCTAAACCGACTCAGGTTCTTTCGCAAAATGCAAGTGTTCCATCTTAAATATAGTTTTATATGTTAGTGACAAAAATTAACGGTAGGAAATTATCCATAATCATGAGCCAATTCGTGAAACAATATCTTTACATGGAACTTTTTATCCATATAGCACTTTTTAAAACTGACGCCAGTTTGCAACAGAACCAGAGCCCTGATCAGTAGCGTTTTCAGAATGATTCTGAAACCACTAAGAAGGCATTAGCTTTAATTTGGCTGAAAAATAAAGAACTCCTTCCATTGCTGCTGATGAAGCCTGACCTCATCCGCCATGGTTGTGGTTGTTCTTTAGGCCACTGAAAGAAAGAACGTAGAACATTAGCGATAAAGTTTATCCTCTCAACCGGGGTTGGTTCAGCCAAGGAAGCCGCCTCGCTACACCTGAGAACAGCTGCGTCTGCTGAGATAACTTTTTTATTAATGTTGATGTTATTTTTGTATTTTGTTCGAACACGAATGCAGATGTGAATTATAATACAAAGATTATAATTCTATTCGAAACTTTCCGGGATTAAGGGTCGCCCTGGATTGGCGGAATGGATTATTTTCTCCGTCAGTCCTGCGTCTGCTAGAAAGGGAACGAAGTAAAGTTAAAATACATTATTTAAGGAAGGTCTTACCTGTACTCTTCGTCGGACATGGTGGTGGTTTGTGAGGAAGTTAGACGCTGTAAATAAATAAAATTTACATCAGATTTCAAACTGAGCACAAAATAAACTTAAAAATGAGTATTGAGATGCATATCAAACTGCACCAAACATACGCAAGATTTGCGTTGAAAAATCAACACTGCGGTAGAATAAAACCTACATAACAGATAGACAACTGCATGTCCCCAGTCTAGCACACTTCTTTTTGAATAGGTATAACACCCAACATAATTTGTAACAATTATCATATTAGCAATACTGATAATTATCGTCCTAAATTTGTTGTACAAGAGGCAGAGGAAAATCTGAGGCGAGAGGCTCTAGAAGAAACATCTGAGCTCGCCGTGCGCGGTGAGGGGAACGGTCAGAAATAGAAGTGTTCGCGCATGCGCCGCTAACATGAGGGCTCGAGTAGGAGCAAGCTTACAATATCCTGTTTCCTGATCTTTGCTGCAAGTTCGTAACTCCGAATTGCGAACTAAAGGAATCCGAGTAAACTATGTCAGTGACGATTTTGTAACACCATCAGCCTGCCACAAACGGCTTGTCGGGCTAAACCCATCAATCACAGACAAAAAAAACGGAAAAATTAAATTCTCTAACTTTAATTTTATGGCTCGCGGAAAAAAACGTGAAAAAGTCTATGGATATCGCGCGCGATATTTAATTACCTACCTCATCCCCCTCAGTAACTTACGATCGCAGCATTTAGCCCGTCTTCATAAAATTTAACTGACCATTACGACGGGCTGAAAATTATTTAAAAAAAACATTGAAAATTACCCACTTTCCAGAGAATAAATAAATAAAATTAAAGAAATTAATACCAACAATCATTAAGTGAAATTTTGAGGACAGAGTATGAGCAAAGATGTACAACCAGGATGATTTATATCGGAATATTTTGACGTTTAAATAATCGAAAAATCACATATTATACTCATATCACAAACGTGTTTCCTGACGCTGAATTTTGTGTTTTGAGATTTCGCTTCACGTTCAATTAGAAAAAAAAACTCCCTCATTTAAACAAAATTTTCTGCAGTGCCATTGATAAAATTTGTTAAAACAAAGACGCACTTCATCGCAATAAGGCTTTGTTTGCCTTATTGTTTACTTAGAATTTCTGTATGTTTAGGGCAACCGAGGGAAGGGGAAGGCTGAGGGGCGCAGCGACCGACCGTCTGCGGTAAAAATAGGACGCGTGGTGGACGCTCGCCAAGCGCGCACCTCTGGCACCTACACCAGCGGGTTGCCCGCGCCCGACCCTCCATGCTTCATGTACTTCATGTTGATGACTATTTCATGTGATATGCCGAGAATTATTGCTCTTGTTGTGTTGAGAATTAATTATCTTTGTTAAACATCTGATTCATATCCTTTATTCGCTGCAATAAAATATTTATTTTAATGCGTCAAAAAATATTTATTCTTTGTGTTGTACTTATAAAAGTTATCGTTATTTACCTGATTTGTTTCCATTATTTGATGCTAAAAACGGCAAGGTTTTCATAATTTTCTTCAATTATATTTTATTATATTATATTTTTATTTGATTACAGGCATGTTGCAAGCATGTTGAAGGCATGTTACAGGTATGTTGAAGGTATGTTGAAGAAGTGTGTGTCATACAACTCCACTCCTACAACTCCATTCCTACAACTCCACTCCTACAACTCCACTCCCACAACGCCACTCCCACAACTCCACTCCCACAACTCCACTCCTACAACTCCACTCCTACAACTCCACTCCTACAACTCCACTCCTACAACTCCACTCCTACAACTCCACTCCTACAACTCCACTCCTCACTTTTTATCCTGCTTTTTGATCTCCCGACGGCTTTCAAAAAATTTATTTCGATTTTTGACGCAACAAATAAGAAAATTTTAAATAAAAATTATGCTCTGGATTAATTATGCTCTGGAAAAATTATGCTTCTATGCTATTGCATAGAAGTAATGGCCTATGTACACGAAGCGGCCGAAGTACACGTAAAGTAACGGCCTATGTACAAGAAGCGGCCTAAGTACACGGAGCAGTCGATTTCTCGTTTATAATTGGTGGGTATAACCGCATAATGAATGATTATAAAGGGTGTAGCTTGAAAAGTTGTCCGTGATTGGCTGATAGAGTTACGAACTCTTAACTATCTAACTATTATAAACCCACGGCCTGGCTACGCATACTTAGACTTACGGCAGTCGTAAGCTGTTCGACTAGCGAAAGCTCGGGCATCGAACTTGCGGTGGTCGTAAGGTACGATTATCTTAACTCGTTGAGTGCGGCAAGACTCACCGGTGAGTTGCAGGGTCTTTTTTCCGGACAGACTCCGCGACTTAGTTTTTTTTTAATTGCGTTTGTGGACCAAAATTTATAATGGCATTACTACCTCGTTCAATTTTAAAAAGTACAGGAAAAAAATGAAAGTTTAATTTTTGCACCGAAACCTACAAATTTACTAGTATATTTTGAATTATGAACCTTTTCATCCGCGGACTTGGCCTTTTTAGCGCATTTTCTCATTTATGGAAAAAAGGCGTTATTGTGCTCGCCATGTCCGTCCGTCTGTCTGTCTGTCCGTCTGGGACTTCTCGTTTTCGTCGACAAGAAAATGCGCTCTGTCACTCACTGCAGTGAGTACTGAGTTATATTTTTTAGGCCATCTGCCAGCGCTGGTGGGTGTTGCCGCACTAAACGTGTTAAGCTAAAGTTTCCCAGGATTCACACTTAATTCGACGACTGTCGTAATTTCAACGTTGATCGCTCTTCCCGCACATCCGCAATTGGTTCAGTGTAATTAAGGATTGTCCGGCGGCGGATTTAAAACTCATTGCATTCAAAGGGATTTCTTAGCGCTCCTGATTAAAATAAGTATCCAAGTAATCCTGAATCAAATGCTGCCTCGCACCACAGCAAGAAAATATTTATATACTTTACGAATGAAGTTATGAATCAACAATGAATCATTCAGCGAGAGCTTACCAATCACGGACACTGATCTTCAATTTACAGTCATGGTTGAACTCACGACCATCGTAACTTCGGGTACTTGTAAACTTGCGTTGGCGGCCGAATTCCGGCTCCTCGTGCCAAGATATGCGCTGCCGCGACCCTGCAGCGTACTATGTTTCTACCTACTTTTGAATGATCTAATTTACACTGTTTACAGAGGGTTTACGTACAGGGACCATATTTTCAGAACTCGCTGAGTGAACGTTACTTACGCTCTATTTTCTTGTCTATGATTGGCGGATTTTGCTTGAAAGGCCGTCAATGATTGGCTGATCGATGAACTTACGATCTCTTAACTTTTTTTGGAAGTATGGGCCCTGGACTTGTAATGAAACCGTAAATTGTTTATGATCGCAATCGTAACAATGAAGAAATTTACGAAACTAAATTGAATTTAAAAATGGAATTGATAAAAAGTACGAAACATTATTATTATTTCATTGCATTTCAAATTGAAGTTTCGTATATTTTGTAATCGAAAAGCATCTTCATATCACAATAATATTTTTGGTCAATCAGCCATTCAACATTGAGGTATACCATCAGCGTCAACATTCGATAGTCGTAGAACTTATGACAGTCGTAAACAATATATGACAATCTTAAGACTTACGACCAATGGCAACACGCACAGCTATTGCCGAATTTACGCCTTAATTGTTTTCATTTTTCAGCATCGAGAGCTTGGCTCAAGATACAGCGCAAGCCAGCCAGATATAATGAAGGAGTTACGACGTCGTAAGTTTGCTCTCTGTGCGACGATACGTTAGCCGTTGCCAATGCTATTTGTACCTAAAGGCGGGGTAACGAAATAAATGCTCTAATTAGCCTCTATGCTCTGCATTTTGTTTCCGTTTTTCTTTCATACCAAGACATTTTACAAGACACTCATAACTCCAATTATGGATTTCTTATGTTTGAGTGGCAGTATAAAGTAAAATAAATTACTATAACCTTAACCATACCTAACTTATTTCGCCTGTCCTAACCTACATTAACGTAAGCTGACATTAACGTCAGCATTTCCTCGATTCCCTCTTCTTGTCCATGCTGCAATTCCTCACTTCCCTCCTCCTGTCCATGCTGCAATTCCTCACTTCCCTCCTCCTGTCCATGCTGCAATTCCTCACTTCCCTCCTCCTGTCCATGCTGCAATTCCTCACTTCCCTCCTCCTGTCCATGCTGCAATTCCTCACTTCCCTCCTCCTGTCCATGCTGCAATTCCTCACTTCCCTCCTCCTGTCCATGCTGCAATTCCTCATTTCCCTCTTCCTTTCCATGCTGCAATTCCTCACTTCCCTCCTCCTGTCCATGCTGCAATTCATCAGGCACTCGATCACTGCTGACGCACAATTCCAGGCGATTTGACAGTTTCACTGAAGCACTTTGCTTGAATTTGCTCATTTTTCTGCTAACTCTTCACTCAGACATGAAAACATCATTGGAAAAAACAAGCCTTTTGCCAGCGAGGCTCAATGTCCAAAATTACAGAAAATTGTCCCTGGATGACCAATTGAACGATGAGTTGCACATATCACACCATAGAATACACGGATCTTGCACAAGGAGTCCAGGGCGAAGTCTTGCACTTACCTAGAAAAAGAAGAGAGCACCCGCGTGTGGCCTGGTGCGTAGACAAATCGCCCGAGTGAGAGACTGTGCGGGGCACCCGAACCGCACCCGAGAGCCAATGCGTCCAGCGCTGTGATTGGCTGCTGTGCAGCATGTGACTGATGACGCGGAGCTCTCTGATTGGATGCTGAAAAGATTTTGACCTGGGTTGGGAAGCACTTCTATTGGCTGCTGAGAAACATGTGACCCGTGATGAGGACGCGATTGGCTACCCACATGTTACGTGGTTGTCTCCTGGCCTTTGGAGTAGGTGAAATACTACCTCACTCATGCCTTAATGGGCTCATTAGTCCTTCAACCCATTAAAGATTAAACCTATATAAATGCAAAACTTCTACGCCAAAAAATGGGAAGAATTTAACTTAAAAAATATAAAACTGGCAGTCACAGTGTTAAGATCAAATAAGAAGCGAATGTTCAAACTGAAATACGATCATAGGTCATTGCCTGCTCTCGCGTTCCTCTCCCTCGAGTCATTCTTCACCTGGTCCACGGGTTAACATTCTCACCTCTATCACCCATTTCTCATGCTGCAACTCTTCATCCCCTTCTTCATGGCAATGTTGCAATTCTTTACTCCTCTCATTCCGTTTATGCAGCATTCCTTACTTTCCTTTATTCATTGCAACTTCGGAGAACCAAAATTGGGGCAGAGTTGTGGGTTCGATATCTGCGTGGAGGCCGAGCGATTCAGCATAGTAAACATAGAAGCGGTGAGTTGTGTGTGCATAGTAGTATGTTAAGAAAACATATAGTGGAAATCAAAAATTTTTGAAGTGGTGGCAAAGTAGAAACTTTTTAATACAAAAAAAGCAAAAACTAAATGTAGAAAAATACAAAATAAAATTTTCTTTTGGATAACAAAATTGTAAAAAACTATTTTTTGCAAAATTACCAGGTTCCCGTTTAGACTTGTGTTACCTTGCCAACGTTTGAGACCAGGAACAAATTTAGCAATTGCCGCCTCCGCGGCTGCAGAATATGGCAGCGTTTGACATCCGACCGCTAGCCTATCACTGCCCGATGATATGTTTCGAAAAATTCCACCCTGGGAGCCGACGGTTAAATGGCCACTGGAAATTCAATGGACACCTGCTGCTGCTCCCCACACCTGCTGCTGCTGCTGCTCCCCACACTCATTGGCGCTAAATTTTGCCGGGAATGCATAATATGTCAGAATATATATCACATTAACATAATATAAAACTGTAATATAATATATAACTATAATATGTTGAAATATATAGTTGTTATACGTCTAAATATATAATTGTCTTATAATATATAACTATAACATGTCGGAATAACTACCAGTCATCTACCCTTACTTCTGACAGCCCAAAATCATTAGAGTGACGCAAGGAAGCTATTGGCCTTGTACTTGTGTTAAGATGATCAACTTACGAATAATTGGCTATGATTGCCTGATAATTGTGTCGCGATTAGCACACATCCACACCTGACAACCATCATTAAGATCGCAACTTACACTGCAACTTACTTACATTCTACCATAACTTACGGCACAGCCAGCGGGCTACTTGCGGCCCCATCATACCAGACTCGATCGATGGGTTACTGACAGCCCAATCAATGGGCTACTAGCAAATCAATCAGTTGGCTACTAATGGTCCGTGAAGCGGGCTACTTACAGCCCAATCAAAGACTACTTGCGAATGATCGGGCTACTCACGACACAATTAAAGATTTTTATACATTATTTCTCCTAGATTGTTGAAAGCCGAAATACGCTTGCTTCTGTCTAAGCAATCCTTTAGTCTTTGACAGCAGAAACATTAACAGTTTGTAATGCCATTCATGCCTATAGGATCGGGAACTAGAGCTACCTTTCAAAGCAAGGCATTCAGATATTCTTAACTAATACTTTAATCGTTCTTTCGAATTCGTGTCTGGAGGTTGCTAGAGTTGAAAATTCTCCAACTTCACCGCTGTTGAATACCTAATTTAATCATTTTATGGAAGTCACGTATTATTAAATAATAAATCAACAGGAACTTTGATTTGAGACAATTCAGGTCCAAATAAGACCCATAAATAAGGAGACGACACGAACAAGAGCAGTTCAGGGCTTCACCCTCACGCCTTGCCAAAAGTCTTCTCAGAATAGCAGGCAATCGCAACAGATGCCAGTTATCGCCAGTCACGCAATTCAAATGACCACATTTTACCCACGTTACAGAATTATTATTTACTGAATCGTTGGTCTGGACGAAAATACTATCGAGTTTTATGTATTATATTTCTTCAATACCTTACGCACGGAAGTTCCAATGAAGTTTCTGTAGGAGCAGAACTCTGGCCATCAGCGATGAGTAGAGTGAGACGGCTTGGGCAAATAGTCTTGGCAACTCGACTGAGTCAGGGCTGAGAATATATGTAGGCCAAACTCGGTGCATGTCAACGGTACATTCTTACTCAACTCAATGGAATACGAAAGAGATGATGGTGAAGAAAAATAAATATATATATATGTAACCTATTTATTATGAGTTGTTTACTTTACCCGACGTACAGCGCCGGTGACCAGTACATTGTTACTGGAAAAGATTACGGTTAGTTTCGTTATTACACTCATGGTTAAAACAATATTCCGGAAGTACCACTAATATATGAAGCAAGAATACCCAGCAGGAATCATAGTGATGGTCTGGAAAACTATTATGCATTTAATCCATGTGAAAACATTTTTTCTCACTCCGTTCCACTACATACAGAACAGGCTTCTTGCTAAACCGTATAGGCCTCTTGAATGAACCCGTTCAGGGGCAGACTGGACAAAGTTATGCTGCGGTAAATGTCTGGACTAGTTGTGCCCCAAACATCGAGACCTGGTCAAAGGTTGGAAAACTTATCGCTCCTAAGTCATTTTCAGATATGGCTTGTCGATAGGCCAGTTATTATAGGTCTCCTGGAATCATGTCACAAACATGACAAGAATCTGTGACAAGACAAGCTCAGGCTTTAATCAGACGAGTTCTGGAGCTGATATGGAGGAATCATCAACGCGTCCACAAGCAGCGACAACCTCACCAACTCCTACAAGCTTCCTAATCCCCCTCCAAGCGCGGGTTCGATCCCAGCTCTGTGCGCCAGTTTCTGATCACAATCGGTAAGGAGGCCGGGCGGTTAAGCACAGTAGAATTGTAGCAGCGAGTTCGAGAACGCAACAAGCTGAGAATATTCTCTGATGTTAAGAATCGGCGACAGGCTAACGGCCTACTAAACGCTGAAACCGCTATTATTATTACATCAACACGCGGCATCCCCACTATCCTTAGTATGCAAGTACTGAACTCAATTCACGCGTTGTTTGTACCAGAAATAATTTGTTTTAGGGACCGTACTATCGAACCTGACTAGCGACAGATTTCTCGTCTGTGATTAGCGAGTTTAGCTGTGATTGGAACATGTCAACACGCGACACCCCACCTAACTCCATGTCAACACGCGACACCCCACCTAACTTCATGTCAACACGCGACACCCCACCTAACTTCATGTCAACACGTGACACCCCACCTAACTTTATGTCAACACGCGACATCCCCACTAAACTCAATGTGCCGTGGTGGCCCAGTGGTTACAGTTCAGAGTACCAAGTTTGGCCCAGAGAGGCGCGGGTTCGTTCCCAGCTCTGCGCGGCAGTTTTTGATCAGAATCGGTAAGGAGGCCGGGTGGTTAAGCACAGCAGAATTGTAGCAGCGAGTTCGAGAACGCAACAAGCTGAAAATAGTCTCTGATGTTAAGATACGGCGACAGACCAACGGCCTAGTAAACGCTGAAACCGCTATTATTATTATGTCAACACACGGTACCCCCACTGTCCTTAGTATGCAGGTACTAAGTTCAATTCACGCGTTGTTTGTACCAGAAATAATTCGTGGTAGGGACTTTACTATCAAATCCGACTCTAGCGACCGACTTCTCGTCTGTGATTGGAGAAAAGCCGTCATTGATTGGTTGACGGAGTTACAAACTTGTTGCTATTTTTGATAGTGCGGCCTCAGGAAATTTCACACGCATGTCCGGTTTTCACTTACCTTCTCTTGCTTTTAACCATCTCATAGATGCGGTTCTGGCGCGTGGCTGAGATACTCCTGTCACCTTTAATGATATTTTGATCCAAGTTAGCAATGGGGTCCTAGAGAGCTCGTAAAGCGTCGAGGTTACAGTTCCGGCGCGTTCAGGTTACGAGCTACTCAAGATATTCTTGTACCAATCTTGCTTTAGGCCATGATAAGCGAACTAAATGCTCCGGCAAAATGAAAGGAAATGAATTGGACAAATCACATTCAGGAATGCAGTAACTATTAGGAGCTGCGCAGCGCGTTGGTGCATTCTTCATTACTTTTTACAACCAATCCATCATTTGGTTATGGAAATGCAATGCGGAAATACAGTAAATTACACGGCGCTGCGACCGGTCCTCGGTAGTCCGAAACAAATGACCAACCCAAGACCGCTGTTATCGTCGGGTGAAATATAGCTGGCAGTTGTGTAAAACAACGTCTGAAACTACGAACATTTTATTGTATTCACAGTACGTAAGTCCGCAAATAAAGAAGACGAGAAACTTAAAACTTAATTCTTATTCACATGACGTACAAAAAGATCGTTTGATTCAAATTTGAAATTAAACCGTGAATGACATAAATAATCTATGTAGACATAATATGGAACAAGAACCAACTCCAGGACCCTTAGTTAGGCACTGAAAAGCTGCAGTTAAACTCCACCACGAGACAACATCGTGTCGATCGTTCCTTCTCGCTCCGAGTCACCGCGAGGAAGAGACTCCGTGCTGACGCGGTTGATGCCTATACAGTGCGTAGGCATACGAAAACAACAAACTAAAGACATAGGTGATATGCCTGCCACATATCAGACCCGGTGAAAATCCAGCAGCTCATGAGCAACCACGTCACTTCTAAAAGACATTGGGCTGGATTATCTGAACTTGCAGTACAAGTAGCGGCCTATGTACAGGTAGCCGCCCAAGTACACGTAGCGGCAGATTTATGGTCCATGATTAGCAGGTAAAGATTTTTGAGTGGTCAATGACCTTACAAAGCCGTTGTAGATTCGTCGCTGACGTAGATACGAACTCGAAACTTTTTTTGATCTTCCGGTCCCAGATCAGAAGACAAGTTTTACCATCTCCTCGTAACAAATCACAGATATTAAAAGATAGGGCAGCCGACCAGACTTCGCTTACTCGCCAATGCAAATATTTAATAAACAATATAACTGTGGTACAAATGAACAGTACAAAAATTCAAAAAGCGAGGAGACTGCCAAAAAGTTTTCAACGTCCATTTTTCAAATAATTTACTTTGTTTATCGCATGACAGGATTTGTCTTAATGGCGACGTCACGAAGGCCATGCTGGACTCCCACTCAGGCTCTGCTGGACTCCCACTCAGGCTCTGCTGGACTCCCACTCAGGCTCTGCTGGACTCGCCTCTCAGGATCTGCTGGACTCAAATCCTCCTGGATTTTTCAGGCTCGTCCCCATGCCATAACCGAGCTTCTCGTAGTTGCACCCGTCGGGTGTTTAGTCCCTCAGGTTCTACTAGATTCTTCAGGTTCTACTAGATTCCTCAGGTTCTTCTGCACTCCCCAGACTCGTCGCCCCGCCGTCTACGAGGTTCTTGTAGTAGCACTCGTCGGGCGTTTAGTCCCTCAGGTTCTACTGGATTCTTCAGGTTCTGCAGCACTCCCCAGACTCGTCGCCCCGCCCTCTACGAGGTTCTTGTAGTAGCGCTCGTCGCGTGTTTAGTTCCGCAGGTTCTACTAGATTCTTCAGGTTCTGCAGCACTCCCCAGACTCGTCGCCCCGCCGTCTACGAGGTTCTTGTAGTAGCGCTCGTCAGGCAGGTAGTCGATGTTGCCGGGAGGGACGACGTAGAAGTCCTCGAGCGTGTCCAGGGCGCACGCCAGCACCGCGTCCTTCCTGGCGCCTCCGTCCACCTCAGGCTCGTCAGCGCTCAGCCGCAGGCTCCTGTAACGCAACGTCAGTTAGGCGGATGATATAAACTGCACCATATATCATGTAAGGTAATTCAGCAATGATATAAACTGCACCATATATCATGTAAGGTTATTCAACAATGATGTAAACTGCACCATATATCATGTAACGTAATTCAGCAATGCAAGACCTAATACCAGCATATGCCATAGTTATCCAGTGAAAAGCTGCAGCAAAACTCCACAATGAGACCACATTCCTGCTGGTTTTGTATCTACATTGTCTACATTCATGTTTGTATCTACATTCCTGCTAGTTTTGTATCTACATTGTCTACATTCATGTTTGTATCTACATTCCTGTTGGTTCTGTATCTACACCCCAGCAGACATCGTTGAGTATGACGACACTCGGTAACAAAAGACTTGTTGAGTGATATGCCCCATACCTCGTACCCACAAGTGTGATTTCCCTCATACCCTACAGACGCCAATTAGGTGATTTAATGAAAAACTACGTAAGTATTTCCACATTATTTTCAGCGTATTATTCTGGGAGTGCCTATCCAACGACGATATTGCTTCAAAACGATTACTAGTCACAATTGAAATCAGCTTGATAATCAATCATAAAGTTTTATAGGCATAGGCCTAAGATTTAGCTTATCTTTAGAGATTTTCAACAGTATAACAAGATGAGTAATGGCTGAGAAGAAGAAAACATAATTTGTTAAAATCTAAGACTCATTTAGATAATAGCATTGATGTATATACACCCTTGATGTATACCGGTATACATAATATACTTGAAGTAAACATCAGGTATACACATATTTGATGTTGTCACCAGGCAGAGCTGCTACAAGCCAACAGAACATTATTTGGAACTATTATTTACTGATGTCAGGCCCAGACCTTCGTAGCTCAAAGCCGAGACAATGAATAAAGTAGTTCCAGGCTGTGCTCATTTATTAGATTGTGCTCATTCATTTAATTGTGCTCATTTACAACTGTGCTCATTTATTTGATTGTGCTCATTCATTTAATTGTGCTCATTTATTTGATTGTGCTCATTTATTTGATTGTGCTCATTTATTTGATTGTGCTCATTTATTTGATTGTGCTCATTTATTTGATTGTAGCTGTAGTCAGCACAACAGCAGAAGACAGCAGCTGTAGTCAGCACAACAGCAGAAGACAGCAGCTGTAGTCAGCACAACAGCAGAAGACAGCGGCTGTAGTCAGCACAACAGCAGAAGACAGCAGCTGTAGTCAGCACAACAGCAGAAAACAGCAGCTGTAGTTAGCACAACAGCAGAAGACAGCGGCTGTGGTCAGCACGACTAAGAAGGTAGCTAGTCTGCCTTCATAACACTCAGCTGACTGCTCAGGGTCACGGTCAGCTAACAACTCCTGACTAAAACTAAAGGGGAAAAAGTCACTATATTGCTTTAGTGTAAATAGGTACATACTTTATTATTCTACCTATCAATAGACAGGTACATACTTTATTATTACCTATCAATAGATAGGTAAATACTTTATTATTCTACACTTTGTATGCAAATTTAGGTTTTTAACTTCTGCGTTTTTTTATCAACTCCAAACTAATTTTCTACCTTTATCTGTGTACTAGATTTATCAAACTGACGATGGAGCTGGTCTCCGAAACGTTTTCAATAGAGATATGCTAAATTTTTGTGGTATTTTCTTCACTTTTAAATTTCTAGTAAAACTAAAGCGACTGCTGGACTTGGCAAGCTACGTCACATCCAGCAGCCTACAGGTTCAACTGTCATGTGTATTACATGACTGCCTAACGCGTTTGTGAACTATAAGAATGATCCAGCAGATACCGTAATACATTTAAAATTCCTACTCATGAGTATTTAGAAGCAAGTAAATTTAGGAATCACAGTTTCCTGTTGTTCAAAATGTAATTGTATTCAAGAACAGCCTGCTAGTTAATTGCCTGCAATAATTACAATCTGTGGTCAAAATACTTTTACTGAACAGTCAATAATCTGTTTTCTGGACTCACATTAATTTGGTTCATTGTCGAACGTCTAAATCATCATTAAACGTATTTAGACGTCCATCATCTAAACATCCAAAGTAAATAATGAAATTGAATAATACATTCGTGTACCTAGTCAGAATACATCTGATTGACTGAAAAATCTTAGTATCAAAACATTAGTATTAATTAATATTAATTTAGTAAATAGATATTTATTACAACTGCGTGTCTGTTCTTCTACCCGTTTTGGACTCTCGTGTTACACACAATAGGCCCCACCAACCCACCTGTCTTCTAGCCCCAATAACAGATGACACAAAATAGGCCCCACCAACCCACCTGTCCTCCAGAAGTGTGATGAGAGGCTCAACATCCGAGGTGTCAACAGCGTGCAGATGATCAGCCATGCTGCCCACAACACCATACATCAGTTCGGACTAAGTGCCACAACTATCAAATGTGACATAGTATTTTGAAATGATTTAACATACGTCATTCTTAACAATGAGACGGGAATTCATCACAATATTCCAGGAAATAATATTTGGGGTACAAAGATGTACCAACATTTAGTTAACATGTCAATTTAGAAATATCATTCAATTCTAAAGACACAGATAATATTGTAGTTAATCAGAAATACCGTACATCCTGAACAATTATGAATTATGGTCTTATGGTTAAGGGATCACACTCCCTAAATAATAAGTGCTACCCCATCTTGTAGTTAAGGGATCACACTCCCTCAATAATAAGCACTACCTGATTTTGTAGTTTAGGGACTGCACTCCCTCAATAATAAGCGCTACCTGATCTTGTAGTTTAGGGACCTCACTCCCTCAGCATCAGCTGCATCCACCAAGGAAAGTTTTTCCAGGAGCTGCACAAGTTTGAGGTCGACCGGCTCAGTTGACGGCAGGCGTGGAAGACTCAACTTGCATGGGTGCTGGGGAATGGCAGCAGACCCTCTCCCTGAATCTGAAATGTACAGAAATATTAAGATGATATCAATAATTTCAATATACATGGAAAATAGTGGGGGACACAAACATAATAATATGAAACCTAACAAATACCTGGTATAGATACATACTTGTCTATTTGCTAAAATCATACAATGGAGAAAAATAAGTAACACGAGCATAGGTTTAAAAATACAAGAATAAGAATGGAAAGATAATGACATACAATTTTCTGGAATAAGTATACATGCTATACATCATAAATTAGCAAAAAGAAAAACCATGTCAATGTCCATATGGGTAGTACAGAGGATTGAAGCCAAGAAATAGCTGCATAAGAAAAATCAAAAAGTCAGAGAAAAGTTATGTTTAGGGCTCTTATTAATCAACATTAAATGTGTTCAGAATATTGCACACATAATGTACACAAAATAAAATGATGTAGAGCATAATATGTATGAATTCTAGGCTAAATTGCAATCTTTTGTTATAAGTAATAAAGGGAATCCCTTACTCACCCGATGAGCACAATCTTGCAATAACAGATATAGGATGTAGCTTGTTCAAGATTTGTCTGCTTAGTGCCATTTTTACACTAATTAGTAGTAACTAAAAAAATTCAAAATTCCTTTTTTGAATAGAAATGTTTTGCGCAAGTTTTTTTGTATTTAAATAATCTATTATTTAACAGAACGTACGGTATTTACTGAAAGTGCAATATTTTTAATCACTTGACAGGCAGTGACAGTAATTGTTTCATCATTTCAAGAAAAAACCTAAGAATAATTTTCTAATTATGAAATCATAGGAGTAGCTTTATACAATTGATCTCACACACAGACTAAGCTGAAGAGAATGGCTTTTGAATTTCTAAAAATTAAAACAATAAAAAATACATTTTTAAACATGCATATAAAAGATCATTTGCAAGATTTGGTTAGACTTAATTTTAAAATAGTCTGTAAAAAATCTAGTACAAAAATTAAAATTTATTTACTTTCAATCTGCCAATGCTTCACAGTTCACAAGCAAGGAAAATACCTTCTTTCCAAGCCATGACTGTAGCCTTCTTGCCATTTTTGGAGTGGTGGTACCATTACGTCTCATTAGATCCACCATAGATTTTTTTATCTTACAGCCACTATTTGCAAAAGTGACAGCAAGTTTCCAACACTTTTGTCATAACTGGTAACTAGTGGTCTGTGCAGCATTGAGGGATTTTGCAACCTATGGAAGTATGCAAGATATTTTACTGTTCAATTCTTCATTTTCTAATTAACTTTGTGAATCGCAATTTGTGTATGTTGTATTGTATTGCACAGCCTGCTTGGAGAAAATAGCAACTTTGCCATTTTTGGTACCATGACATTGACACATGTAATGTATAGTTGATTCTAAATATTAAATCTTGAAAAGTAATTAAATATTATAGTATTTGGTAGAAGTTAACTTTACAGTTTGAGTAGATGAGTAGATTAAAAAATAAAGTAATTATAAAAAATATGTGGTTGGACATTATGACTACCATAGACTCCACTAGTAGTTGCAAGATCAAAACAATTTTGTAGATAGGATACTACTATTTCATAATTAAATGAAGCCCACAAATCTATCATCTGACAAGTTACCCAGCATAAAATGAGTGTTAATTTTTATTGGCAAGCAGCAAGTTGAGTGCAGACTTTGCATGTTCAGTCTGCAGACGCCAGTCACAGACTCACATAGTCAGCAGTATTGCAGTAAGAGGATAACACTAACAGTAAGCAGCTGACACTGACAACTGAGTGCAACCGTGGCAGCTCGAATGTCATCGATGGTGATTGTAATATTGCAGTTTCAGGCAGAAAATATATTCAGACTCACAGCCTTTATGCTGAAATCAAGTAGAAATTGGTTGGTTGGTTGTGCAAGCAGCTACTTTCCACTAACCGGCACCTCCTCCTTGAGTATTTTTTTTAATATTGATTTTTAGGCTTTGGGTATGCAGGCAGCACACCTCCCAGCCTGAGCACAACTGGGATTTTGGACACTTCACTTTTAGATCTCTTTACCTTCTAGCACCTCCACCAGCCAGTGTGACAGTAAATTGTGAAAAGAAAAGGTACAATTAGGCTTGATAGAATATTTACAGCCTGGTCACCATATTGCAGTTAAGCAAATGTTGACATAGATGTCGGATGGCAGCAGTGCGTCTCCTCATTGGGGCATCCCCACCATTAAGAGCTGAGGAGAGATCCCAGAGTAGAGAAAGGCCCTCCATCCAATCTAGTACAGAAATCCCTTTGCTGGTTGATGAATTGCGTGCAGTGCAGGATGAAGTGCCTTCACATAGCATACTGGACAGTTACTAGAGTCAGCTACAGAGCTAAGTTGAATTCGGCCAGATGAGCTTTGACACCAGCATGCCCCAGGCATAGACGTAACAAAGCGCATTCAACTGAGCGTGGCAGCGATCCATAATCCACATAGGATATCTCAGGTCCCAAACTTCTTCAGAAGGTCCCTTTTCCAGTTTCTGGTACATCAGCAGACCATTGGTGAGCCCATTCTTGATTGGTGAGTGACTTCATGGAGCAGATCCATTCCTCAAAGCACAGTTGAGATCTTTCTGTGCAGTTGTTAGAGTGTGCAAGGTTTGCTACTCTGTCTGCCACTGCATTTCCACATATACCACTGCGACCTCTGATCCAGCAATGTCCACTCTGTTAAGTCCCTTGACCAGCATCAACTCCTGTATCTCGAAGACAATTGTGTGATATGAGGGCCCCAATGAATAAGACAAAAGCTGCAAAGCAGACCTTGACTCTCCACAGATACATCTAAACAATTACAATTATAATTATAATTGTAATAATTACAATTATAATTATAAACTATATATAAAATAATTAAATGCAGTGAATGGATATAAAATATTTGAATTGTGCACATGTTTATTTCAAACAGTGTTAGCTTTTCTCATAACTTGAGTCTCGTTTCAAGTTGTATGAGGTTTGTTTGGTTATCGTTCAGTTTATGTTTAGTATTGGTACCATGAACATGCCATTGAGCATTTACAATAACCTTGTCCACTGCAAGCTTCATATCAGCAGCCTTATAGCATTTCTTCTGTATCTGTAAGCTTACAGGACAGCGTATAATTTCATGCCATTTTAATTGAGTTAAGTGAATTTACTATAAAAAAATCATGAAAAACATACCTGAAACAGAAAGGAATGTTTCAGTGACAACCATCATATGTTTTGGAGAAATAAATCATAGTTTAGTTCAATTACTTTTCATTCTATGATGCCTGGTGCACAATTCTATACATGACATTCTACGCACAATTTTGTGATGACCGATGATGCACTAATTTTTCAATCAGTGAAATTTTTTTTGCTGAGCAAGGTAAATTTGATCAATATTCTGTTTTTAATCTATTTTTTCTTAACTGGAGCCTTTGCTGGCTGAGATTCTACTGTAAATATGTTTTTGGGGGTGTCCCGAGTAGCCCCACCGTGCGGAAATGGCCACCATTTTTTTGGATTGAGGTATGCAAATTCCGTGAATAAAGTTTTCATGCTGACACTTGTCTGCCACTTTTTAACTACAGACCTTAGCATAAGTAACTTTACAAAATATCATTTTCACCCTTTTTTTCAGGAATTTTTCAAACCTAGTAAATGTAGTTTTTTTAACTTCCTTTATACTACATAGATAGGAAAAATGTTGACGTTTATGCCACTATATTTAGTTTTGCAATATTTCAATTAGTTTTGCTACTAAAACAGTTTTACACCGTGTCGGAGGACTGCCCCGAGTTACCCCACCCATCCCAAGTACTAGCCCCAGCCCCCAGTTGACGGTATAGCACTATAGCTTGTGGTTTTCAGCTTCTTTGTATATGAAATTAATTGCTGCCCTCTTGTGAGGTTGGCTGACATAAGCTCAGTACAGGATTAGGTAGGAGTTTACAGGGAACAAAATTCAACAAATATTAGTAAATGAAATGAGTTACTGCTAATGTAATTTTGATAAGTAGGGCTGCTAATGTAACAACCTTGATTAAAAAAATAATAAATAAATAAAAAACTAGATGATCTACTTGTTAAATCAAAACATACGTATATCAGCACTTTTATTCAGCAGTTGCCATGCATCAACAATTTTATCATGCTTGCATATATACAGGCATAATACAGCATTCCAACTTCCAAGGCGCTCATCCAAAGATCACTTAGCCTACCTGACTTTAAAATAAATACATTGAAAAATTGAGAGATCAATGAATTATTATGAAGTGACATTCGAATGCAGGGTTAACAAAATCCGGTTTAATTCAATAATCTAAGTCATCCTACCATAGTGGCAAAGCAGAGAGTTTTTTAGACTCTCCCTCAAGTTCATTTTTGAGTCCTATATGTAGACCAGTTAAGTATCCTGGATACCTGCATTATCCTACATATGAAACTGTCAAACTGGTTTAAATCATGAGTAAATGAGGAAATTAAAAATGAACTGATTCTAAAAATTCTGTGGTTTGTCACTATGCATCCTACGTTCTTCTACCAACGTCCAGTTGTCCACCAAGAAACAATCACAAGCAAATCATCTCCCAGCCTGAGGCTGAAATGTCAAAAATAAAACTAGAGCTCCTAGACTCGCTGTCGCACATTTCAAAAAAATTGAATTATTAATGATCAACATGAAGGAATTGAAGAAACCTAGATAAGCTGGCGGTCAACTTTTTTTTATCTATGCCTACATAGGCTACATTTACTTACGACAAAAGCAGGCAACTAACGTAGCTATGCAGGAAACTTAACGAAAGAGCGGAAAAAATATTTTTTGCATATGCACTTATTGCCATCACCGTCAAACCATCAAGTGATACTATTTTATCCTTGACTAATAGCGTCGCCGCACGGGCGACATTCAAAAATATAATAACCGTGGAATCTTCCCGGCTGCTCGAGGTTGGCTCAAGTGAATGTTTACCAAAGAAAGTGCGCGCCACCATATCGCAAGCACTGAATACACAAAAGTTCTCGAGCCGTAACTGGACTATTAGCAGCGAACGCCATACTCTCGCTTGATTTGTGTCGATGGAGTGACTAACGCGGGAAAAATTTCGCATTCGCGAAGTTTTATATTTTTTCGGAGGTGGAGTGGTAATTAGCCACTTTACTTTAATATTTTACTATCCGCTTTCATGAACTGGCGCTGAAACGCAGCTGCTTAATTTAATTATAATTTACAAATGACGACCATGTCTTTTCCTTATCATCGTGCAGCGAACCTCCAGTCTCGTCATATTCCTCCTGCGCGTATATAGTCCATTCATAGCTACTCTCTGGCTCTCACGCAGATTAGGTCCTAACCCCTGCTATCATTAGTCCATTATACATACGTTCATTAGAAAATATTTTTATCTATAAAATTGTACGCTATTCTTTCTTGAAGGTTCCTGCCTTCACTTCTATTGTAGTTCCCACTTTCTTCGCCCACTCAGAATTTTCCTAAGCTCCATTTCTGCATTATTGCTCTATGACATCTCGCTCATTAGTGTAAGATCACGACGAGCTCAACTATCTTCTTTTCGAGATGTCCACGCAGGGTAGACTTAAAGCCACTTAAAGCCTCCCAAACATACATGGGGTAACTTAGACCACTTTTTTTTTATAAATGATGCCATTTTTTACTAGCTAAAAATAAGCCCTGAATCAAACGGCTTGGATCTCTTCGGACCTACACCAATCAGCCGTGCACCACTCGGCTTTGTCCTCTTCCGGCCTTGACCACAACCTGCCGTGTTCTGTTCCAAAATTTATCGTCCTTCGACAAGTGGCCGTTCGACCGAGGGCTGGTTCGACCCACGGCCTAGATACGGACGGCTTGAAGTGTTGTAGGCTACGTTCCGGAAGGCAGGAATCATGATGGTCCATTACAGCCAGGGCAGTGGTGGTCTTCGGCAGGCGACCCCATTCATAGCTACTCCCTGGCTCTCCCTCCCGCAGATTAGGTCCTAACCCGTGCTATCATTAGTCCATTATACATATGTTCATTAGAAAATATTTTTATCTATAAAATTGTACGCTATTCTTTCTTGAAGTTTCCTGCCTTCACTTCTATTGTAGTTCCCACTTTCTTCGCCCACTCAGAATTTTCCTAAGCTCTATTTCTGCGTTATTGCTCTATGACATCTCACTCATTAGTGGAAGATCACAACGAGCTCAACTATCTTCTTTTCGAGATGTCCACGCAGGGTAGACTTAAAGCCACTTAAAGCCTACCAAACATACATAGCAAGCAACTTTTAAGTGCATCTTAACTTGAATTAATATCTAAACATATATAGGCGTGAAATAAAATTTATAATGAGTCTTCTGTTAACAAACGAATATGCTCTAATCACTGTATTTAACGATAAATTTCGTTTTTACTTGAAGAATTCTCAACAATATTTCCATTGCTTCATGAGAAATACATTCAAATTAATGAACAATGAGACAATTTTCCATCAATAACACAGGACAAGATGACAATTTTTGATGGGTAGCTATCATACTTTGAACTTGACTGAAGACTCGAGCAAAAGCGACCACTTCCTCAGGTTCTAAACAAAAAACTACATTGGATACCATTTTGTTCCAATCACATAGCACAACTACAACAGAAATAAATGACCACAAAACAAAACAAAATCGTAAACGCTGGCCGAAGTCACCCCGGCGGCCGAAGTCACCCCAGTTGTTGCATCTTGTAAGGGAAGGTTTTGAGGTCATATTTGAGGACTCTACGCATTGATGTCTGAATGACTCTTGGTTCTGCAGCTGAGCGACTGGGGTTTCTCCTCAACTTCTCCCTCGTGTTTTTGACCAATCGTTTTGTTCGGACACTTCGTTTCCTTCCTTGGCCAGGTCGATTGCATGTTTCACCAGTTTCCTTGATTTTTTATACTACCTTTCACACAGTTTCACGAAGAGTTTGGAGCTTTTTTGCAATGACGGAATTACTCTTGCCTTTTTCATGAAGGGATATAATTGCATTTCTATCTACTGCCATAAGTAATAGCAAATTTAGACACCTTAGACTTCTGCAATATAAAATAGTTGAACCAATGGATGATATTAAGCTTCATTATAAAAGAAAAGTCTCCTAGAAACTAATTTATTTCTATATAGCAAACATCCGTTGCCATAAATATGGCGGACCCTGTATAAGTTAATAAATGAAAGTGTTATGTTACAGTGTTATGTGGTTACAGTTCAGAGTACCAAGATTGGAGCAGAGAGGCGCGGGTTCGATCCCAGCTCTGTGCGCCAGTTTCTGGTCAGAATCGGCAAGGAGGCCGGGCGGTTAAGCACAGCAGAATTGAGCTTCATTGTTAGTTCGGTTTTCTCTCGATCGGTAATTTGATATTTCAGTGTCAACTGTTCTATTTGAAAACCCATTATTCACTAGAATTTGTTTACACGATCTGAGTACAGTTTTTAAATCACTCTCGGATGTGCAGGTCTTGAAAGCTCTTGATACGAGAGAGCGCAATGTGCTGGTTTTATAGCGCTGCGGGCATTCACTTTTTTCGTTAAGCACTTTCCCGACATCGGTAGGTTTTCGGTAAACATTAGTGACAAAGGAATTATTTGCAATTCGCACTAATATGTCTAGGAATGGCAATTTGTGATTTTGTCCAATTTCATGGGTAAAAGTCAAGACTGATTCATGTTCCAAAGCTCTTCGCAGTTTGATCAAGTGCTCTTCGTCTCGTATGACAACAAAAATGTCATCTACGTATCTGCAGTAAAGCTTAGACTTGATCTGTGTATTGAGTAACACTCGATTTTCCAGTTCACACATATAGGATTCTGCAAAAGTTGGTCCCAGAGGGCATCCCATGGCAACGCCGTTAATTTGTCGGTAAATTTTGTTATCATGAGTCCGGAAGGGATATTCTGAAGTACAGAGGCGAAGAAGGTCAATTAAGATCTTTTTTGGTATAGATGGGACTGGCAGGGTTTCGTGCGAATACACATGCTTCATGATAATTTCTAACGTTTCTTCGGTTGGTACATTAGTGAACAAACTAGTAACATCCAGCGAACCTAGCAGGCCAGGGGCCGGATTATCGAAACTTCGTAACTCTTTGTACATATGACAAAAAAGTTACGTGTTACGTAAGTACACCCTAATTTTGGCATTGTCAAAACTTTCGTACGCAAGACATAGCTAAAAGCGTATTATCAAAACCATCTTGCTAACTGACCAATCAGAGGCTTTGGATTTGCTCTTCCTATAGCTCCAGTAAGCTCCTCTCGACCAGTGCGCTGTGCGCTTAGATGAAAGCAGAATGTGTGGTGTCAGCGGCATTTGCGGTGCCTGACTAGGGTGTATTTGGATAGATGAGCGAGACGTTATCCATATAGCAATGCACTTGTGATTATTAACTGAAATTTCTTGCAATAAGGGCAAATACATGCATTATTCCCATTCAAAATTAGAAGAATTTTTAGAAGGTTACAAAGAATTTAGAAAATTTTGTAAATTGGAGTTGCGACTGACATAAAAAGAAATAAATTTGTTTACAGAGCTGGAAAAATGGTTGGCTTGTCAACCTCAATATAATTTTGAATCAAAAAGGCATCAATATATTGTTCAAGTGAATGATCATAAAACTCTTAGATATGAATATCAAGATTTGCTTGTAAATTTTAACACAATTAGCATTAGCACAGAAGGCAATTAACATTTTTATCCCAAAAGCACCGTTTAGCACGATCACATAGTATATGTCGGATTATTGACAAAATTATATCTCAATTCACCGTGTTGCTACTTGCTAGTAAATCAATAGTTTCTTATCGCTTCAGCAGACACTCTAAACTTGTGCAGAACTCCACTTACGACATCTCCGAGCAGGCGTACAGTTACGTTACGTAGCTTGTCGCGCAAATGTTTTGATAATACCACCTCTAGAGTTACGTCATCAAGTCAGCACTTACGCCACTCGTAAGTCGATTTTGCTTACTTACGAAGTTTTGATAATACGGCCCTAGAAGGGTGCAAGGCATGAATAATTTCCAAGAAGACATTTATAGATTTCAGAAAGTATTCCTTAGGGCTATATGGTTTAATTATATCGTCCAGTTCTTTAGAGGTATGGTACACAGGAGAAGTAACATGCAAAATTATAGGCCTTAGTGGGTTATTTTCTTTCTGAGTTTTGACGTTTCCATAGAGGTAGCCTGGAGAATAGCTCCCGACAATCGGGGTAAGTTTCCACTCTGCGGCCCACTTACCGGCAGGCGCACTTGCTCGGTCGTGTCCCTCTCCCTGAGTGTGCAGGTGGGCGGTGCCCCACTCGGCGCCCCACTCAGAGTATCAAAGTCCACCGTCACGACAGAATTTCTTATATAATTAAATATTCACAAACGTTATATTCTACTTTACATGAGATGGATTCATGATATTGATATTTTGGGACAAATTCCACTATTTGATTTTATCAATTACGTTGGCGGCCAAAATTGCGGTAGTTGTGAAATTTACAAAAAAGTACCAAAGAACAAAAAATTCAATTTTGGCTGAGGAACCTAATTATTTACAAGTAGATATTGAATTTTAAGCTTTTTGGCCTTTTTTAGTGGATTTGGCCGTTTTTAGGCCATCAAGCACAACTGGTGGGCCCGAATTAATGAAAAGAATGATTGAATGATAGTTATTTGATAATTGAATGATAGTGATTCGATAATTTAGTGATAGTGATTCAATAGCTGAGTGCTAGTGATTAGATAATGAATGAAATAAAGCCCCACTCACTGATGGCTCTGATGAAGGGTCGGGCCTCCCGCTTGTGCCGCTGGGACAAGGGAATGATGGCCACCTTGATGGGGGCCACCCACGGGGCCAACGAGAAATACGTCCGCTTTTTGTCCTCCTCGCGGACGCGGAACGTGTGCTCGAGGAGGACATAGAGAATTCTGTCCATCCCAAAGGACGGCTCGATGACATGCGGGATGAAGGTTTCCGTCAAAACCTGTCTGGTTTCCTGATGGTAACTAGTGACCATGGTATTGGTAATCGTGTAATTAGTGCCCGGTAGACGGTAACTACCTTCAATATTTAATTTATTTTGCATTAATTCCATCTGTTCTTGCGTGAATCCTTCTTTAAAGATGGCGGTAATTTCCTTGTATTGTTTTTTGTTGAAATACTTCCGTATCTCGGGATTATTTGTCACGGGAACGCAGACGTCCTTGGTCACGGGGCCGCGGGTCTCCGTCTTGACCCGCGGGACCATGTCCCTGGTGACCTCATACGTGGTCCCCGGGACCACAGCAGCCTTGCCCTGGGCCAGGGCCCCGTCTAAGGCCACAACTTGGTCAGGACTTAGATCCATCAAGGCGTCGGTGACGGCCTTAGCGTCCTTCTTGAAGAATTTCCCGATAAGTCCTTTGTCAAACACGGGCACGCAGACGTCCTTAGTGACGGGCACGGGCAAGGGGCGCTCGACGCAGAGCTTGGTGCCCGTGGCCCGTGCGTGGCACGTCAGGTCATAGGCACTACGGTCAGCACACCCAACACACTCAACCCACCCGTAGGACGTGAGGGCCTCAGCGTCCCAACAGTCGCATGCGTAGTGGGCCATTTCGTTGGGCAGGTGCTGACGGAAGCGAATTTTTGGACCCACTAGGCCCACTTTGAGCAGGTATTGCTGGATGCGGGCCATATAGTAGCCCAGGGTCTCGTTGGCGACCAGACCCTGCAAGATAAAAGGTTAGGGCCATATAGTAGCCCAGGGTCTCGTTGACGACCAGATAATCAATAATTAATAATTATTATTGTCACCGGACGTTCGCCGCAACCTTTAATCTTGTTAGAATGTCTCGAGCCTTACGGCCAAACGCCGGCAACAATCTGGTAAAAATACGCTGATTTTGATGAAAGTTCAATTACAGTTTGTTGCACTGGGATATCGTAAATTAAAACTTTAGTTAACACGGAAAAAACGCAACTTTATTTCAGCAAGCAACAGTTTAAAACAGGCATGTTTAAAATTTCAGACTAGAGTGACATCATGTTCATGGTCGAGAAACAGTATAGTAAATCTTTTCACGGCACAGCCACGACTCTAGCGTTAGGGGCTAAGAATTGCTGAAGCGGAGTGAGTAAAGGTTAGAACCTCACTGTAGAGCTGGGGTCGTAGAACCTCATGTAGAACCTCACTGTAGAGCTGGGGTCGTAGAACCCCATGTAGAACCTCACTGTAGAGCTGGAGTCGTAGAACCCCATGTAGAACCTCACTGTAAAGCTGGGGTCGTAAGAACCCCATGTAGAACCTCACTGTAGAGCTGGGGTCGTAAGAACCCCATGTAAAGCTGACTAACTGACTCGCAGCCGCTCAGACCTGACCTTGCACTACGTCGCTACGCTTAAGTTGAGGTCCGACATCAATGTTACTGAGGCGGCTACGCCAGGCGTGGCTTCCGGTATGACATGAGATTATTTAAATGAAATAGTGAACGACGTCCACCCTTCACAATATAATTAATACTTTATTAATATAATCAATAATTAATATAATCAATAATTAATTTAGGTAATTAGCGATCGCTGACCTGCGAGACGGCGTCACCCACGGACATGTGCACAGCGTCCAACCCGCGCCTCTGCTGCTGTGCACTGTACAGCCACAGCACCTCGCCTGCCACCTGCACAGCATGACAACACAGCATGACACAGCATGACAACACAGCATGACACAGCATGACACAGCATGACAACACAGCATGACACAGCATGACAACACAGCATGACACAGCATGACAACACAGCATGACACAGCATGACAACACAGCATGACACAGCATGACAACACAGCATGACACAGCATGACAACACAGCATGACACAGCATGACAACACAGCATGACACAGCATGACAACACAGCATGACACAGCATGACAACACAGCATGACACAGCATGACAACACAGCATGACACAGCATGACAACACAGCATGACACAGCATGACAACACAGCATGACACAGCATGACAACACAGCATGACACAGCATGACAACACAGCATGACACAGCATGACAACACAGCATGACACAGCATGACAACACAGCATGACACAGCATGACAACACAGCATGACACAGCATGACAACACAGCATGACACAGCATGACAACACAGCATGACACAGCATGACAACACAGCATGACACAGCATGACAACACAGCATGACACAGCATGACAACACAGCATGACACAGCATGACAACACAGNATATTCTTATTCCTGTCTCTTATACACATCTAGATGTGTATAAGAGACAATGGGAATAGACATCCCTATTTCTATATCCCTTTGATGCAATTTAAAATAGTGCACTAAATTTCTCTAATTAAAAAAGCTAACAAGTTATAATGAAGTTTAAGCAAAAGATAAAAATTTTGACCAAAATACTCCATGTACTACACAATAATATATTCATTTAAACACTATTTTTGATAAACTGTAGGGTAATAGAGGACCATTTGTGGGGTAAGACTTGGAGACTTGGAGTGGACTAACTGGACATGAAGCCACAGGTCTGCCAGATGGATGATTGTTGGGCCTGAGAGCTTGTGGTTTTCAGCTTCTTTGTATATGAAATTAATTGCTGCCATCTTGTGAGGTTGGCTGACATAAGCTCAGGCCTCAGGCCTCAGTACAGGAATGGATTAGGTAGGAGTTTTAACAGGGAACACATTTAGTAAATGAAATGAGTTACTGCTAATGTAATTTTGATAAGTAAGGGCTGCTAATGTAACAACCTTGATTAAAAAAATAATAATAAATTAATAAATGAAAATAAACCCTAGAGGCCTAGATGATTAGCCTACTTGCTAAATCAAAACATACGTATATCAGCAGTACCTAACGCAGTTGCCTGTTGCCATGCATTAACAATTATATCATGTTTGCAATTTGCATATATACACTAATACAGCATTACAAGGCGCTCATCCAATGATCACTTAGCCTACCTGACTTTACAAAAAAATACATTGAAAAATTGAGAGATCAATGAATTATAGTGAAGTGACATTCGAATGCAGGGTTAAAAAATCCGGTTTAATTCAATAATCTAAATCTAAGTCATCGTACGTTCTTCTACCAACGTCCAGTCGTCCGCCAAGAAAGAATCACCAGCAAATCATCTCCCAGCCTGACCTGGCTGAAATGTCAAAAATAAAACTAGAGCTCCTAGACTCGCTGTCGCACATTTCAAAAAAATTGAATTATTAATGATCAACATGAAGGAATTGAAGAAACCTAGATAAGCTGGCGGTCAACTTTTTTTTATCTATGCCTACATAGGCTACATTTACTTACGACAAAAGCAGGCAACTAACGTAGCTATGCAGGAAACTTAACGAAAGAGCGGAAAAAATATTTTTTGCATATGCACTTATTGCCATCACCGTCAAACCATCAAGTGATACTATTTTATCCTTGACTAATAGCGTCGCCGCATGGGCGACATTCAAAAATATAATTACCATGGAATCTTCCAGGTTGCTCGAGGTTGGCTCAAGTGTATCTTTACCAATGAAAGTGCGCGCCACCATATCGCAAGCACTGAATACACAAAAGTTCTCGAGCCGTAACTGGACTATTAAGTATTAGCAGCGAACGCCATACTCTCGCTTGATTTGTGTCGATGGAGTGACTAACGNCCATTTTGTTCCAATCACATAACACAACTACAACAAAAACAGATGACCGCAAAACAAAATCATAAACGCTGGCCGAAGTCACCCCGGCGGCCGAAGTCACCCCAGTTGTTGCATCTTGTAAGGGGAGGTTTTGAGGTCATATTTGAGGACTCTACCCATTGATGTCTGAATGACTTCTGGTTCTGCAGCTGAGCGACGAGGGTTTCTCCTCAACTTCTCCCTCGTCGTGTTTTTGACCAATTGTTTTGTTCGGACACTTCGTTTCCTTCCTTGACCAGGTCGATTGCATGTTTCACCAGTTTCCTTGATTTTTTTACCAGCTTCCACACAGTTTCACGACGAATTTGGAGCTTTTTTGCACTGACTGAATTACTCTTGCCTTTTTCATGAAGGGATATAATTGCATTTCTATCTACTGCCATAAGTAATAGTAAATCTAGACACCTTAGACTTCTGCAATATAAAATAGATGAACTAATGGATGATATTAAGCTTCATTATAAAAGAATGGTCTCCTAGAAACCAAGTTATTTTTATATAGCAAACATCCGTTGCCATAAATATGGCGGACCCTGTATAAGTTAATAAAAGTAAGTGTTATGTTTACCCTGTTCACGGTAACGGTGAATATTACCGGATTTATACTTTGGATACTTGAACGAATTTCAAGTAACTTGTTATTAAGGTAGAAGTAACTTAGTGTGAAGTAACTTTTTATTGAAACTTGTACTTCATTTTTCCGCAGATAATAGATGATATGATGAATAACAAGATGATGGATGATTGTGAACAAAAAATGATATATGTGATCATTTCGGTTCAAATTACATGCGTTTATGGACGATAATGATTACCAATGATAGAATTGCCGGGTCTTATAACGAATAATTCATAACGAAAATACGGTGAATTATCTCGGCCTTGCAATTATTATTGAATTTCTGTTCAATTAAATAATATATAGGATTAAATAATATTCATAGGACTGGAAAATTCTTAATATTTCAAAGAAATATCGAAAAATATAGTATTAAATAAGTTTATTGTTGTGCAGTCTGGGGTCTGAAGGCAGGATATGTAGCCCGCACGTCAGCCCACGTCAGCCCACCCGCACACAGCCGCCCCACCACGTCCGCAACGTCGTCAACCTGCCCACATCATCCAGGATTATATATTTTATATTAATATATGATATATTATTTAGTGTAGTTCGACAGAAGCTTTTCTTTTATGCAAGTGTGATTGAAGACCAGAGCATGCTTTCTATTAATAATCTTCTTGTTCGTTTTTTCAAGGCGTCGAACCAAATTTCTTGCTGGCGCCGGGAGATCGAAAAGCAGGTTTCCAAATGACATTTCAATAGATTGCCACGTTTCGAAAATACAATTTTCATTATTAAGCTGATGAAGGTTTTACAACACTTTAAATTGAATTTTGGAAATGACAGTACTACACGTCAATGATATAGTGGATACAATTTAAAATATTAGCTGAAAATAACCTAGCAGGCCAGGGGCCGGATTATCAAAACTTCGTAACTCTTTGTACATACGACAAAAAAGTTACGTGTTACGTAAGTACACCCTAATTTTGGCATTGTCTAAACTTTCGTACGCAAGACATAGCTA